AAACCCCTAAGCCTGTTTCATGTGAGCTACTATTAAGCCATTCCTTCCCCGTCCTTTACTTTGGTAGTTAGGTTTCATCTTGTGGTTTTGATTCTTCATTTCAGCTTATTAGCTCATGGAATGTTAGGGCTAAAAGAACCCTAAATATAAACTTTATTCATTTTGATCTTATTTCTTCTATTTTCCATGTTCTCTGCCTCCCTTTCTCTCCCCACAAGCTTTGTGCTGTCCACAGTTTGGAGGTTGTGTTTTCTTCCAAAGCATTTATGAAAATATTGAGCAGAGCCATGGAGCATGTCCCAGAATCCTACCTCCAGTTGACTGCAGTCTATTTGTCAGCATATTTTCAAGCTGATTGTTCTGTTAGCTGTGGGTCTCTACCTTTATTCTACTACTTGGGCTTATAGTTTCATTTCATCCACAATATTGCTTTTTAGCCAGATAGGGTTGGGAGAGTGATCTCTAGCTTACAACATGAGGAGACGTAGAGGTGGTAAGATGAGAATCCTGAAAGTCAAAAGTGCCAAGCATCTGCGGACTGGAAAGGCACCTGATGCACAGGGAAAGATATGATCTGTTTTCATGAATTCTGATTTCTCTGAGATGAAAGGGATCTGCAGGTTTTCTTATTAGAAATAATTGTCAGGTAGTGTTGATTCCATCTCTACCAACACACCTTCTACTCATGGTTCCAGATCTCAGTTAAGAGGCAATCCATTTAAATGTGAAATAGCTCTTACTGTTAGCATCTGACATCGTCATCTCAACTATTTTAGCCTTGTGGAGGAATAAGCAGGATATTGCTATTCTTGTCCCTCAGTAAATCAATGAGTTAGTTTCAGGCTAGTCTTCAGCTTTGTATTTGCACATTCAGGGAAAGAAGGATGAATGACTTTTGTGTTACTCCTTCCACCTGGCCAGACCCAAGCCTCCTTTAGAATCATTCAGAACTCTGCCTCTTCCAGGATGTTTTCCTGACAGCTCCTGCCTCATCTTTCCTCTGAATTCGCATGTCAGTACTTGATGCTTTGTACTGGCCGCCTAATTCATGTGTTTATATCCCATCAGCCAAGTCCTGGAGGGCCAAGGCTTTCATGCTTTCCATAGCATCAGGCACAAGTGTTTGAGCAAATTAGTGAACCAAGTGTGTCTCCATAAGTGTTGCCATGAGATGGCACCAGAGGCCCTGCAATTGTTCTGCATAACTTTTAGCTGTTTATTGCCATTTATATGCCTTCCTTAATGAAGTTTAAACTTATTTACCAAGCAAAATGCCGATAAATACTAAAGTAGAAACTGAAAAAAAGAATTTATTTTTATTTATTTATTTATTTTTATTTTTTTTAAGAGGCAGAGTTGCGCCATGTTGCCCAGGCTGGTCTCGAGCTCCTGGGCTCAAGCGATCCGTCTGCCTCAGCCCCACAAAGTGCTGGAATTACAGGAGTGAGCCACCATGCCCAGCTTACAGTAGAAATTTTAAACCAAACAAAGAAACCAGGTAACTTCCCCTTTTATCGCATTGTAGAATGTTCTGTTCACTCAGCTTCTCTGCCTTGCCCCTCCCCAGGAACTTGCCCTTCCACCAGCAACTGCTTTCTAGGCCCCAAGCATAAGCTGGCTTTCACTCCCTAATGGAGACAGCCTGGGGACCTGAAAATGGCCTCAAATTCTTGGTTTGTGTTTTCTGATAATTTATTTTTCCTAGAAAGGACAATTAAACATTAATAAGAAATTGCTTATAACCTCATCACTTTTCATATGTCAGTTATTTCAGTTTCCTCATTCTGGTCTTTGCTCCTTTGTATGTGTGACTTTATGCATTTTTAATCATGCAAAGCCGTAATAAGAGCTCTCATTTACTGAGCGCTTATTATGAATTACGCACCACACTTGTTTTATATTACTTCCATTTAAATATAAAAACTATTATATCAAATGCTTATATTTACTACACTACTCATAATGAATGCTGACATTATTAGGAACTGTTCTAAGTGTTTCCATGCCTTAACTCATTTAACCCATACAACCTTATGAGAATAGATACCGTTAACCCCATTTTACCATAGTTTAGAGAACCAAAGCTTAAGTTAAGCGATCTGCCTACGTTAACACAGTAATTAGCTGTATTGGGATTCGTATTTAGATAGTTTTAATTCTAAAATTTCTGATCATTTCAGTGTATCATTTCATTTTGTTCATTCTTTAATCATTTCTATTTGGACTTCTGGAAATGGTCTGAAGGCTAACAGAATCATTAAAATTAGAGTTTGATTTAGATCTTTTTCCTGAAGCTAACCTGGTAGCTCCTAGAGGACTAGAGGTCATGTTTATTTCTGTACTCCTTTTCCCATTAAATGCAAAATTAATACTTAATGGGTTGAATGAGTAAGTGGGTGAACACTGTCTCTACTCTCCTAGGAAGTCTGGGATACAGAACTAGTTGATAGAAACTTAGCCTGTTAGAACTTGAAGGGGTTTGAAAAATCAAGCCAATCCCTTCCTCCAAGGAAGAAGGACCTCCTTAGGGTGACCCAGTGAGTTGGAGGCAGAACAGTACTAGAACCCCGGTCTCCTGGGCTTTTACTCCACCATCTGGTTTCAAAAAGCCTAATCCTATGTCTAAATTCCTTTCTCTCTCCCCTTTTTTCCCTTTCTCTCTTGCCTCTTCTTCTCTGTCTCTTCTCTCTCACACACAGTCTCTCTCTCTCTTTCTCTTGGTGTGACTTGATGTAGCTTTACATACTTGATGTATATCTCTTTTTTTTTTTTTTTTTTGAGATTTGACTTGGAGTCTCGCTCTGTCGCCCAGGCTGGAGTGCAGTGGCTGGATCTATTTTTAGAGTAATCCACAAAGACTGGTGCACATTCTCCGGCCTCAGCCTCCCGAGTAGCTGGGACTACAGGCGCCCGCCACCTAGTTTTTTTTTGTATTTCTTAGTAGAGACGGGGTTTCGCCGTGTTAGCCAGGATGGTCTCGATCTCCTGACCTTGTGATCCACCCGTCTCGACCTCCCAAAGTGCTGGGATTACAGGCTTGAGCCACTGCGCCTGGCCACTTGATGTATATCTCTAGATGTAGTTTTTTCATCCTAAAATTTCAAGCCCGAAAACTACAAAACAAACAAGATTTTTCTTTCCTGATTTTTTTTTTTAATCCTAATTGTGTCTTTGTCCAACTCAGAATAGAATCCAGGATCTTTTTTTTTTTCCTCACCCAAAATGTGCAGAGCTGCAGCTCATGTAGAGAAACTTACTTTTTTTTTCATTCCTCTTCAGAACATACTATTGGTGATTGGTGGGGAGTGGAAAAGAGCATCTTAGAGCAGGCTGGTTGTTTTAATGCAACAGCCAAGTTTTTGAAAAACTTTTTTTTTTACGGGAATTTCTGTTTTTTTCTCAGAGAGAGCAAATGTGACCAGACTTTTTTTTTTAATTCTTCTCTGGGCCTACTGTTTTGTAAACAGTCCCATGAGCCTGTTTTTTTTTTTAGCGTGAAGACCAAAAACCCTCCACCCCTTCTTGCCATATGCCACCTTTTTTTTTTCATAAGTTGGGTTGCCTTTTCCCCTAGTTTAAATAATCTGCAGTTGTTTGTTGTGATGTCTTTTCTTGGTGCTCCTAGTGTCTCGTAGAAAATGGCACCTGGTTTTTTTTTTGGGTAGCCATTTGTTAGTACATCCTGGTGCTTGCACACTTTTTATGTTTTTTTTTACTGTTTTAGAATGCTTCATTCAGAGAGTCAGTTGTGGGTTCCTGTGCAGTGAATTGTTATTGAGGCTTCATGGCTCATGGACCAGCAGCCAGTACCCTCAGGTTTTTTTTTTGGGAACCTCTAAAGCAAAGTGGTTCTGCTTACCATTTTCTCTGTCCTGTTCTGTTTCTTTTTTCCTATAAAATGATGCTTTTGTGTGTGTGCGTGTGTTTTGTTTTTTAAGATGGAGTCTCACACTCTGTCACCTGGGCTGGAGTGTGATGGCGCAATCTCAGCTCGCTGCAATCTCCACCTCCCAGTTTCAAGCGATTCTCCTGCCTCAGCCTTTTTTTTTTCTGGAATTACAGGTGCCTGCCACCAGGCCTGGCTAATTTTTGTATTTTTTTTTTTTACGGGGTTTCACCATGTTGGCCAGGCTGGTCTTAAACTGCTGACCTAAGGTGATCCACCTGCCTTGGCCTCCCAAAGTGTTGGGATTACAGGCGTGAGCCACCTTTTTTTTTCATCTGAGGCTTTTTTTTTGTCACAGAGAAGTCTGTAAGAGAATGGTTTTTTTTTTCAAACACTAAAACGAAGCTCTAAGCTGCACTACCTATTATGGCAGCCTTTTTTTTTATGTGCCTGCTGACCACTTGAAATGTAGCTAGTCTGTTGTAAATGTATTTTTTTTTTTTGATTTCAAAGCCTTAGTACCAAAAAAAGTAAACCATTTCATAAATTTTTTTTTTCTTGAATACATATTGAGATATTTTGTATATATTGGGATAAATAGAATTTTTTTTTGAAATGAAAACCTGTTTCTTCTTACCTTTTAAAAAATGTAACTAGAAGATTTTAAACTGTGTTTGTGTCTTGCATGATATTTCGTTTGGATAGCACTGGTCTATTTTTTTTTAATCTTTTTTTTTTTTTTGAGACAGAGTCTTGCTCTGTCACCTTGGCTTTTTTTTTGTGGCGCGATCTCGGATCACTGCAAGCTCCGCCTCCTGGGTTCACACTTTTTTTTTGCCTCAGCCTCCCGAGTGAGTAGCTGGGACTACAGGCGCCTGCCACCTTTTTTTTTTAATTTTTTTTTTTTTTTTTTATTTTTATTAGAGACGAGGTTTCACCTTTTTTTTTAGGATGGTCTCAATCTCCTGACCTCGTGATCCGCCCGCCTCAGCCTCTTTTTTTTTTGGGATTACAAGTGTGAGCCACTATGCCTGGCCAAGTAAATACTTTCTTTTTTTTTTATAGAACGCCAGGAAACTAGCCACTCTTTTCCTCTCTATATCTCTCTTTTTTTTTGTTGTTTTTTAAAAAATATTCTTTCATTTCGTTGATGGCATCAGGAAGAAAACCTCCATTACGTATTATGTGCTATCTTTTTTTTATTTATTTATTTATTTAGAGACAGAAAACCTCCATTACGTATTATGTGCTATCTTTTTTTATACCTGCTACTCACTGGAGAAGGGTGACATCTAGTGACAGAAGGGTGGTTGGAAAGGGAGTTAGGAGGCATTGGAGAGAAGACTGGCGATGACTTCAAACTTCTGTCTTAGAGTTAGAATTATTTTATGCTTTTTTTTTACTTCAGCTAACAAGTCTGAGGGAAGGCTCTGAAGGAGGGAGAGTAATTTTTTTTTTCTTTAAAATAGAAATGTACCTCTCTCCGAGGGAATCCTACTCTTGTTTTACTTTCCTTTTATTTATTGGAATTTATTAAGGACATATCGTGTGCCAGCAGTTTTTTTTTTTAGAGGAAATGGGAATACGGCCTAGTCACTGCCCACAAGGAGCTTACATTTTTTTTTAGAATGAATTCAAGCCCAGCCTCATACTCTAGATAAGCTCTATAATGTTTTTTTTTAACAAAATGCGTTTGGAGCACTGGAAAGCACTTTCTGCCTGGAAAGGTTTTTTTTTGCCTTGTGTGTCTTGGATGTGATATTGTCAGGCAGAAAGGCAGGTGGGAAGGACAACCTGATGGGGACAACCTGGCTTAAAGGCCTGGGGAGTGGCAGATGGCTTTTTTTTTCGTAGGTTGGGGCCATATTATGGGGGATTTGACAGCCTGGCTAAGAATGTTGGATCCTCTCTACAAAAAATACAAAAATTAGCCAGGCATAGTGGCATGTGCCTTTTTTTTTAGCTACTCGGGAGGCTGAGGCAGGAGAATCGCTTAAACCTGAGAGGCTTTTTTTTTAGTGAGCTGAGGTCAAGCCATTACGCTCCAACCTGGGCAACCTGAGCTTTTTTTTTTCTCAAAATAAATAAAAGGAATGTTGGATCCTATCCTTTATGCAGGGTTTTTTTTTAAGCAGAGAAATGACATGGTCAAGATTTTGTGTTCGGGGTACCATTCTTCACTCCTCAAAAGGATAGACACTGAATGCAGGGAGATTAGCAAAGAGCTCATTGTTTTTTTTTAGCCAAGTGGTAGCAAGAGCTCAAATGGAAAGGAAAGAATATATCCATTTTTTTTTTGAGTGAGGGATGAAAGGGAGGAGGAGTCAAATATGGTCCTAAGTTTCTGACTTGTATCACTAGTGGAGTTACCTTTATCCAAAGCTGGAAGTACAGGAGAGGTTTTTTTTTAAATAGAAAACAAGCTGCATTTGGGACTGTGGACAGAGCTGCAGAGGTTTTTTTTTAGAGCTGAAGTGCTTGTGTTTGTGTTTCAGATGGTGACCCTCTTTCATTTTTTTTTTGTTCCCCTCTATTTCACAGTGAAGCTGCACTGGTGGAGGTTCCTAGTGATCTGGATCTTGTTCTCTGCTGTCACAGCCTTTGTCACCTTCCGAGCCACCCGATTTTTTTTTGTACAGACAACCCCAAGGTGAGAGTTTAAATAGTGGGAAGAGCCCAGGTTTTCCGAAGCTGATGGGTTGGAATGCATGGGAGGAACATAGGTTTAGACTGAAATTTTTTTTTGTTTTGTCTGCCAAAACTACTTGGCATGGGGCCCCTCTAAAACGAGCTTTTTTTTTGACCCCCTCCCCTATTCATCGATTAAAAACCCCAGATATTTCTGTATTTTTTTTTTTATGGTTTCAAGGTCTTTTTATATTAAAGGCAAACAAAAATAAGCAATTTTTTTTTATCATTGTGGTCTCATTTTAAATGTTTTCTTCTGTGAACCCTTCTCTTTTTTTTTTATTAGATTTTCCAGTATATTCTCTCATATTGCACGGTAGTGTTCCTTTTTTTTTTTTACCACAATTTATAACTAAATACTGTTTTGAGTATCTATCTCCCTCATTTTTTTTTTACCTCTGAGATCAGGAACCACATCCATTGTTTGTCACTGTATATTCAAGCCCTGCCATGGGGCCTGGCACATAGTAGCCTACTCTGTGAATTTTTGTTGAACTTTTTTTTTTTAGCAAATTTATAATTTTCCAATAAACGATACCTCCTTCTTGAGTCTTTTTTTTTCCACTGCCTGTATAATTCTTTTTATTTTATTCAAATTCGTTTCTCATTTTTTTTTTCCAACCAGCTTGTGAGGTAATTTAATATCTGTACTCAACAGAAAAAGTTTTTTTTTCATTCATTCAAATAAGCACCTACTATGTGCCAGGCCCTGTGCTGAGCGCTGGGGATACAGAGCTGGATAAGACATGGTCCCTGTCTCAAGGAGTACTCTGTTTTTTTTTTTTGATGGACGAGAAAGCTCCTGTTGCAGTGAAGTTGGTAAGTGCTATGATTTTTTTTTGTGTAGGTCCAAGAGAGCTTGACTGGCCAGCCTCAAAGTTGTGACCACCTGATCCAAAGTCTTTCAATGGTAGACTGCTCTTCTTCCTATTCTTATGTTCTACTTTTTTTTTAGCCTTTCTCTGGCCTTCTGGAGTTTCCTTGTATAAGGTGAAATAGGTGATCCAGAAGTTTCTCTCTGGCTTTGGTAATTTAAGGGCCATTGTGGAAGATACAGGATGTGGAGCCGGATGAATGTGAATCGGGACCTCTAGCCCTGCCACTTGTTCAACTGTATGACCTTACCTTTCTGAGCCTTGAATTCTTCATCCCTAAAAATGGGACAGTATTTTTTTTTTCACATAGGAAGATAAGGTGATATGAAGAAAAAATGCAGTAGAACAATTTTTTTTTCACCATGAACACCACAAACAGTGCCAACTTTTGGCTAAAATGATTGATTTTTTTTTTCTAATATGGAGGATTTTTATAATAGTAACTACTAGCTTTTTTTTTTTTTTTTTTTTTGAGACGGAGTCTCACTCTGTCACCCAGGCTGGAGTGCAGTGGTGCTTTTTTTTTTCACTGCAAGCTCTGCCTCCCGGGTTCACACCATTCTCCTGCCTCAGTTTTTTTTTTTGCTGGGACTACAGGCACCCACCACCATGCCTGGCTAATTTTTTGTTTTTTTTTTGTAGAGACGGGGTTTCATCATGTTAGCCAGGATGTCTTGATCTCCTGTTTTTTTTTTCTGCCCGCCTCGACCTCCCAAAGTGCTGGGATTACAGTTGTGAGCCTTTTTTTTTAGCCAGTAACTCCTTGCTATTTATTTATTTATTTATTTATTTAGAGATTTTTTTTTACTCTGTCGCCCAGGCTGGAGTGCAGTTCACTGCAATCTCTGCCTCCTTTTTTTTTGCAATTCTCCTGGCTCAGCCTCCCAAGTAGCTGGGATTACAGTTTGTTTTTTTTTTCACCCAGCTAATTTTTTTTGTTTTTTTTTTTTTGAGACGGAGTCTGGTTTTTTTTTCCAGGCTGGAGTGCAGTGGCCAGATCTCAGCTCACTGCAAGCTCCGCTTTTTTTTTTTACGCCATTCTCCTGCCTCAGCCTCCCGAGTAGCTGGGACTACAGGTTTTTTTTTCCTCGCCTGGCTGGTTTTTTGTATTTTTTAGTAGAGACGGGGTTTCATTTTTTTTTCCAGGATGGTCTCGATCTCCTGACCTCGTGATCCACCCGTCTTGGCCTTTTTTTTTGCTGGGATTACAGGCTTGAGCCACCGCGCCCAGCCTAATTTTGTTTTTTTTTTTTTTTTTGGTAGAGACCACGTTGGCCAGGCTGGTCTTAAACTCCTGACCTTTTTTTTTTTGCCTGCCTCGGGCTCCCAAAGTGCTGGGATTACAGGTGTGAGCCACTTTTTTTTTCCCTGTAACTAACATTTGATAGTGCTTTACAATTTCAAAGCACTTTTTTTTTTTTTAGATGAGGTCGCACTCTGTCGCCCAGGCTAGAGTGCAGTGCCATGATTTTTTTTTTCTGCAGCCTCATCCTCTTCGGCTCAACCAGTTTTCCCATCTCAGTCTTTTTTTTTTCTGGGACTACAGGCATGCTCCACCTTGCCTGGCTATTTTTTTATTTTTTTTTTTTTTAGAGACAAGGTCTCACTGAGTTTCCTAGGCTGGTCTTGAACTCCTGAACTCAAACAATCCTCCCACCTCAGCCTCCCAAAGTGTTGGGATTCCAGGTGTGAGCCATTGTGCCTGCCCTCATAGCACTTTCATAAACATCCTTATTTGTACTATACATGTTTTTTTTTATGAACATGTATTATATACCAGGAAATGGGCTCCATACACCTCTCTTTTTTTTTTTAGGTGATTTGACTTATCTGAGGTTACCCAGCTACTAAAACATCACTTTTTTTTTTTTGAGTTTTTTGACCTAAAATTTCATGTCCCTTTCACTATGTCTCTCTCCTTTATGATCAGTGCAAACCCTGGAGAATGGAACTGCGTGTATTCTTTAAGACAGTTTTTTTTTGAAGATGTTTGGGTCCTTTCCCTAGCCTGAGAAACCATCACCGCTTGCCTGGCCACAGCAAGGAGGCACGGGCAGAGAAGGACCTTGACTTTCCTCCCTAGGGCTCAGCAGGGTTGGTAGTAACCTAGTCAGCTCTCAGGAACCACACAGACTTGTGCTTTTTTTTTTGGCAGATTGCTAACTTGTTCATTAGCTCCCATCAGAGATAGAGTAGTTTTTTTTTTTGACGGGAACCCACTCTTGTAGCATTTAAAAGGCTCTGGTTTGGCCAAGCAGCAGCGGTTTATGCTTGTAATCCCAGGGAGGCTGAGGTGGGAGGATCCCTTGAGCCTAGGAGTTGGAGGCCAGCCTGGGCAACATTGCAAGAAGACCCTGTCTCTAGCTTTTTTTTTAAAAAAAAAAAGGGCCCTGGTTCATTCAGGAAACCGTCTTTCTTGCTTTTTTTTTTAGCTGAGATCCATCAATTAGATTGTACGCTGTTCTTCGTTGGCTCCTTTTTTTTTTTACTCCTCCTTCAGGAGCATGAACAACCCCATTCTACTTCACTACCATTTTTTTTTTGTATCCAACTCAAAAGGTACTTCTTAAGTGCCTTTCTCCTTTGTCTTTTTTTTTTGAAGAAAATTCATTTCAGAAGCAAATTCATTATACATCATTTCATTTTTTTTTTTTGGATAGGAGCAAAGCTGTATTCAGACTAACCAGGCCCAGGTACAAAATTTTTTTTTCTCATTCTACCTCGGATTCGTCTCTTGATTTCTGTTTCTGAACAACTTTTTTTTTTGCCTGTTAATCTTCTGAGCATAGTTGTGTTTAATACTTTTTACTTCCTTTTTTTTTGTGACATAGCTGTCTAAGGTCAGCTGTGCTCCTTCTGTGAGGCAGAATTTTTTTTTTTAGAAATCTTTTCCTTGGTCTGAGACCATGAAAATACAAAGCACAGCCGGGCGTGGTGGCTCACGCCTGTAATCCCAGCACTTTGGGAGGCTGAGGCAGGCAGATCATGAGGTCAGGAATTCGAGACCAGCCTGGCCAATGTGGTGAAACCCCGTCTCTACTAAAAAAATATAAAAATTAGCCAGGTGTGGTGGTGGGCACCTGTAGTCCCAGTACTCAGGAGGCTGAGGCAGAAGAATCGCTCGAACTCGGAAGGCAGAGGTTGCAGTGACCCGAGGTCGCGCCACTGCACTCCAGCTTAGGTGACAGAGCAAGACTCCCTCTCCAAAAAAAAAAAAAAAAGGAAAATACAAAGAAGTACTACTTCTCGAATATATGGAGGCATTTCTGCAGTTAAGGGAGTGAGCAGCTTTGAATAGTAACTGAAGTTGCTCAGTATTTTTTTTTCAAAGACCGTGGTGTCCCCATTGATGTGACAATAAAGGATTCTGGTGATCCAGTGACCACCGAGGCCAGAATCTCTGTGTCAGCTGCACTAACTTTCTCTCCTTTCCCCAGGTTGGTTTATAAGTGGTTCCTGCTAATCTATAAAATCAGTTATGCCACTTTTTTTTTTGGCTACATGGCTGTCATGTTTACCCTCTTTGGTCTTAACTTATTATTTTTTTTTTTACCCTTTGTTTTTGTTTTTGCTGGAGTTTGGGGAAGAGTGGCTGTTTTTTTTTTTCTCTTGCTGCAAGTCGTGGTTATTAACAGGAGGGACATAATATCCAGTTTTTTTTTCTTGGGTGCTGTGGAGGAATGGGCGAAGACAGGCTCTCCATGATTTGTTTTTTTTTAAAGCAAGGAATGTCTGAATATATACAGTGTCAAAGTCCTAAATCATTTTTTTTTTTCCAAGGCTTTATATTTTAGTGGAAAAGTCTAGTAACCAAAGTAAGCTTTTTTTTTATTATAACCTGCTATCCATAATTCTGTCACTTTAACAGAGCTGTTTTTTTTTTTTTTGTGTACTGTTCATTTGCAACATCCACTCTGCATGAATGGCCTTATGTTCAACCAGGCCAGGGGTTGGCAAACTGTGCCCTCTGTGCCAAATAGCCCACAACCTTTTTTTTTGAAATAAAGTTTTACTGGAACATAGTCATGCTCATTCATTTATATATTTTTTTTTTCTGTTTTTCCACTAAAACAGCAGAGTTGAATAGTCATGATAAAGATCTTTTTTTTTACAAAACCTAAAATATTTACCATCTGGCCCTTTATAGGAAAAGTTTGCTGACTCTTGGGCTAGACCATCAACCTACATGACCATGGTTGGCTACAGCTAGCAACAGATTTGACTTAGAAGGATACAAAACAAAAAGATAGAGCAGAGCAGTGTCTGCAGTCTTCACAGTAGACTCAGACCTTAGGTGTGAGGGAATGAGATGACATAGACCGGTGTTTTTTTTTCCCTGGCCTAGCAGCCCCATTCCCGCAGGAACACATCCAGTTTCAAGTTTTTTTTTGTCCAGATGCGTTGTACTAATCACAGGTCATAATTAGTGTTTCCTGTTTTTTTTTTGACATTCGACAAGATTTCTCAGGAAACAGTTGTAGAAAGTTAAGCCATTTTTTTTTAGTCCTGCTTCATTTTTGGGCACTTAGGTTGTTTCAATTTAGTACCGTTTTTTTTTACGCTGCTCTGTTGCTTCCTAAGGGTGCATTCCTAGGAATGGAATTTTTTTTTTTTCCTCAGTTGTCATAAGCCTTCCAGAAGATCTCTATTAGCTTACAGGTTTTTTTTTTCCGAATTGAGTCAGGTGCCAAGAAATCCTGAGCTCAAAGACTGGAGCTTTTTTTTTGTCAGTGAGGCAGATGAGGGTGGAAATATGATTTCTTGGATGAAATACTGTTGGCTGTGGACAGTGGATCACGAGGAGCCCTAAGCCTAGGACAGTGCACTGATTTTTTTTTTTTAGGATTCAAATTTAAGATAATGAATGGAATGATTACTAGCCTCTTCCCTGAGCCTAGTTATATTGTAGGCAGGAGTCTCTGAAAGGAGTTTATTTTAGGATTTTTTTTTATAAACCCTGGCCAGGTGTGGTGGCTCTCACTTGTAATCCCAGCTATTTGGGAGGCTGAGGCAGGAGGACTGCTTGAGGCCAGGAGTTCAAGACCAAGCTGGGCAACATATTGAGACCCTCAACTCCAAAAAAAAAGAAAAGAAAATTAGCTGGGTGTAGTGGCGTGCACCTGTATCCCCAGCTACTCAGGAGGCTGAGGCGGGAGGATTGCTTGTTTTTTTTTGTTCAAGGCTGCAGTGAGCTATGATTGTGCCACTGCACTCCAGCCCATTTTTTTTTGGGAGACCCCCATCTCGAAAAAAAATATAAATAAAATAAATCCTATTTTTTTTTTTGAGAGCACACTCATGAAATTCTTTCTTCCAGGGGTAGTACAGGCTGAAAGAATAAACAGGCTCCTGAAGGGTTTAGATGAATTCATCACTGTAGAGTCAAACATTTTTTTTTGAAGAAAACAGATATCTCTTGGAAACTTTCTAACCTGTATGGTTAAATTTTTTTTTCAAGATTCTGTATTATGGGTTTTTTTTTTTCTATTTTTTTTTTTGAGTTTTTTTTTTGCTTTATTGCCCAGGCTAGAGTGCAGTGGCTCACTGCAACCTCCACCTCCCGAGTAGCGGGTTCAAATGATTCTCCTGCCTCAGCCTCCTGAATAGCTGGGACTACAGGCGTGTGCCACCACACCCGGTTAATTTTTGTATTTTTAGTAAGGATGGGGTTTCACCATGTTGGCCAGGCTGGTTTTGAACTGACTTCAGGTGATCCACCTGCCTTGGCCTCCCACAAGTGTTGGGATTACAGGCGTGAGCCACCATGCCTGGCCTCTGCATTTTTTTTTTAATATAATTCTTCTGTAATTACGGTTTCTTTTTACTTGCCTAAACTCTTTTTTTTTGAAAACAGAATTGAGAATCTTGATCATTTTTGTGCTACTGATCAAATTTTTTTTTTTAAGATCAATGATTTCTAGTGAGTTAAATATTCAAGGTTCATAAGCAAATGCAACTTTGTATATAAATATAATTTGTAACTAAGCAAATACATACGGTTCTTTGTACAAATATTTTAACAAATATAATTTTCTATAACAAAGATTTATAGACTCAAGGTTTTTTTTTTTTGGTCCTTGGAATTATTAAACCTTCTAATGTTATAGGCAAGATCTTTTTTTTTTTTGTTAAATAGACTTGGACCAAAATTTAACTTTGATGACATGAGACAGTTTTTTTTTATATGTAGTTTATAATTTTATAGTAACTACTGTATATTAATAAATATTTTTTTTTTTTATCTTTTTTTTTTTTTTTCTAAACCTGTGTTTGACAAGCCGTTTCTTTTTTTTTCCAAATAGTAAATATTTCAGGTCTTATGGGACAGTAGGACTATAGGCCAAGGCAGGTGGATCACCTGAGGTCAGTTCAAAACCAGCCTGGCCAACATGGTGAATTTTTTTTTTTACTAAAAGTACAAAAATTAACTGGGTGTGGTGGCACACGCCTGTATTTTTTTTTGTTCAGGAGGCTGAGGCAAGAGAATCATTTGAACCCACTACTCGGGAGGTGGAAGTTGCAGTGAGCCACTGCACTCTAGCCTGGTACAAGAGGGAAAGCTCCTACCCTGTTCCACCCTGTTTGCCTGGGGAGGGGGCCAGGTCTCAGGTAGTGAGCATGTTTTTTTTTCAGTTGTCATAAGCCGAGACAATCTCAGAAGGAGGGGCATGTGGCCATTTTTTTTTTTTTCACTCTCTGCTCCAGTGACACCCAGATTTCTGGCATGCCCTTTTTTTTTTTTGGATAGCTCAGCTGTTTCAACTTGGGTGGCTAGCTGGAGGAGAGACAGCTCAGCAAGGCAGCTCACTTAATGTCCGGCACTTACCAACAGTGGAGTTCCCAACATGTAGGTCCCAAGGAGCCCAGGTCCTGGGCAGCTGCAAGTCATTGCCACCAGTTATTTTTTTTTAGGACTAAGAGCAGAGTGAGAAAAAGGGGTAGGAGGGGATACTGTAGCTTGGTCTTTGCAGCCTACAGTGCTAGCCTCCTTAAGAGGTGTTCATGGGCCATATTTTTTTTTTCAGCAGACTGGATTTGGTCATAGTTTGCCCACACTTGCTTTAGCCTTTGGGCCTTCTCGCTTTGGGCCCTGCTTTGTGTGTCCCAGAGTAGTAATCCAAAGAAGATATGTCTCAGGGTGGGTCTTTCTAGCTCTAATACTTCCCTTGCAGGATCAAACCTTTTTTTTTCATGGACTTTGGCATCTCCCTTCTCTTCTATGGCCTCTACTATGGAGTTTTTTTTTGGGACTTTGCAGAAATGTGTGCAGACTACATGGCATCTACCATAGGGTTTTTTTTTTCCGGGTTCTTAAATACTTAATAGACTCTTGACACCTCCAAATTGTTTTTTTTTTTGTCACTTGTTTAATGGACGAGAAAGGCACTAAGAGGTGAGATAAGCCAAATAAAATCCTTCAAGATGTGCGTATGCATGGACATCCCTTCCTTAAAGTTTGGATTTTTTTTTAGCCATAAAAAAGGATAAAACCATGTCCGTTGCAGCAACATGCTAGCTGGAGGCCTTTAGTGTAAACCAGTTAATGTAGGAACAGAAAACCAAATACTGCATGTTTTTTTTTATAAGTGGGAACTAAACGTTGGGTATTCATGGACATAAAGATGGCAGTTTTTTTTTCTGGGGGCTACTAGAGGAGGAGGGAGTGGGGACAACGGTTGAAAAACTTTTTTTTTGGTACTATGCTCACTACATGGGCAACAGGATCATTCGTACCCCAGACCTCAGTATCACGCAGTATACCCATGAAACAAACCTGCACATGTACCCTCTGAATCTAAAATAAAAGTTGAAATTGTTTTAAAAAAAAATTAGCCAAATCTCAGATGTAACTGTTTTTTTTTTCTTTAGGGCCATTATAGGAAGGAGCCACTTTATCCAGCAGGAAGTTAACATTCATTCAGTAAATACTTTGTAATGCCTGCTATGTGTCTAGACACATAGCTATTTTTTTTTATTACAAAAGTGTACAAAAATAAACATTGTTTTTGCCCGGATAAACTGGGTGGGAGAGATGGCTGTTATAGTAACAAACACAGATAAAAATAAAATTACAACTTTTTTTTTTATTATGTAGGAAAGGTTCATGATGCTGTGAACACATGTAGTAATGTCATTTGACCTAGTCTCGGGGCTCAAAGATGGCTTCCTTGAAAAAGTGACTATGAAGCTGACTTGAACAATGAGTAGGAGTTAAGTGGATGAAGTGAGAACCAGGCAGAGGAAATTTTTTTTTGTAAGAGTCCTATCGTGGGAGATAGTGTGGGTGTTTTTGAGGAACTATTTTTTTTTCGGTTGTATGGCCAAGAAGTGTCTGGAGAAGTAGTGACTAGACTAGAAAAAAGCCTGTAGGCCAAATTAAGGATTTTGATTTTTATACTAAAAATCCTGGGAGTTTTTTTTTACAGTGGCTCCCTTTGGAGGCCGAGGCAGGCAGATTGCTTGAGTCCATTTTTTTTTGACCAGCCTGAGCAACATAGTGAGACCCCATCTTTACAAAAAAATGAGAAAAAAAAAAATTAGCCGGGCGTGGTGGCACATGCCTGTAGTCCCAGTTACTTCGGAGACCAAGGTGGGAGGTCGCTTGAGCCTAGGAGTTTCAAGGCTGCCTTGAGCTTGTTTGTGCCACCAAACTCCAGCCTGGGCAACAGAGCAAGATATTGTCTCTAAATAAGTTTTTTTTTACAAAGTGTACAATAATCATGCAAAGGCACAACAATAAATGATGGGGTTTTTTTTTGCCTAGTCCATATTTGGTTATTGTTTTTGAACTGCACAGTGGTAGGAGTTGCTCCTTAAAATTTTTACTTTGTGAACTTTTATTCCTTGACTTAACCCACAACCGCTACAACAACAGCCACTGTCACTCACTGCTTTACCAAAAATTGGGGAAGTTTTCTTTTTTTTTTTATTAATCTTTATGTGTAAAGCTACACATTTCATTTCAACATTTAATTTTTTTTTTGTTTTGAGTCTTTATTTAAGAGACAATTTGGTGTCTCTTAAATAGATTTTTTTTTATGTCTTTGTGACAGAAATATGACACAGGAACTGAACTCATCAATTAGCCAGTGGTATAATTGGTTTTGTTATATGTCGTTTCACGTAAAGTCACAGTTTCCAAGAAACTATCAATGAAGTTAAGAGAGGACATACTGTATTGGAGAAGTATTTTGGAGTTTTTTTTTCAGGACTTAGATATAGTTTGGTTCTGAAGACTGAAGGGAAAAATATGAAAGAAATGTAGGTCTCTAAGCTGAGATTTCTGATTCGGCAACTGCTTGGATGGTATTTTTTTTTACTGAGATAGGAAATGCTGCAAGAGGAGCAGGTGGACATCACGAAGAGATGCTGAAATATGGGTAAATTAACAACCAATCTGAGAAACGCAAGTAAATATTTCTTTTTTTTTTTCAGAATGGAAATATATCTTTGTTGTTTTGCTGTTTATAAAAGTAATTTTTTTTTTTTGTAATTATTTAAGCAATACAGAGGTGCTCTCTGTCTCAGTGTCATTTTTTTTTACCCCACCCCAAGAAGGAGTATTTCCATCACCTTGGGTAACTTTAATCTAGTACCGTTTAAGGCCAGGGACTTTGTCTCTCGGTATCATGGGAATATTCTAATTTTTTTTTTTACTGGATCAAATTGAAAACAGTACATTGGATCACTTTATAAACAGTTTATTAGGTTCCTTTTTGAACAACTGTCTTGTGTTTTACCTTCATTTCCCTCTTACTTTTTTTTTTAGACATTGGATCTTCCTTTAACCAGTTTACTCCCCAGAAGAGATTTCTAGACCATGTCACCATTTTCACCATTTTGAAGTATACAGTTCAGTGCCTTAATTATTTTTTTTTAATTCTGCAACATTGTCACTGTCTAATTCCAAAATTTTTCATCATCCCAAACAAACTCTGCCCATTAAGCAGTAACTCCTCATTAGCCGTCCCCGCAGCCCCTTTTTTTTTTCTAATATACTTTCCATCTCTATGAACATGCCTGTTGTAGATATTTCTTTTTTTTTTAATCATACAAGATTTGTGCCTTTGTCTCTGGCTTCTTTCACTTAGCGTAGTGTTTTCAGAGTTCATCTGTGTATAGAATGTATCATTCCTTTTTATGGCTGAATTTTTTTTTATTGTGTGTGACACCGCATTCGGTTTATTCATTTATCTGTCGATAGGTTTTTTTTTTGTTTCCACTTTTTGGCTACTCTGAGTAATGCTGTGAGCACTGGCGTTTAAGTGTGTTTAGTCCCTAGTTCATATCTTTTGGGTTTTTACCGAGAATGGAATTTTTTTTTTTTTTGGTAATTCTATGTTTAACTTTTTGAGGACATGCCAAACTCTACTTTTTTTTTTATGATAATGCTTAAGTGAATACCTGTATTCGTGAAACTTTTTTGACATTTTTTTTTATTTCTTTAAATTCCTTGAAGTGAGATTAATGGGTCAAAAGGTGCAATTTTTTTTTACACCATGCTAAATGCTATCCAAAAGGCTTGAACCCCTTTTGCTGCTGCCACAGATGTCTGAGAATGCCCTTGTCACCAAACCAACATGGCACTTAATATTTCTTTTTTTTTAATGTTGGAGAATGTTGCTCTCCATTTCTGATGGAACCATAGTCTAGTTTTTTTTTGGCTTGCCTGACACAGCTCCTGATCACCAGCCCCGAGTCCTTCTCCCTCCTCTTTCCCTTATCCTTTGGTGCTGATCTAGCCCAGTCTACAGGTCCTGTTACATCTAACTTCCCAACTGTCTCTAGTCCGGTCACTTCTCCCCATCTGCCCAGCAAAGATTTTTTTTTTTTGACTTGTAAAAGATGACCTTTTCTAAACAGTTAAAAAAAAAAAATTTTTTTTTCCTCTAACTGTGGGCCTCCCCCTGCCACTGTGCCTCCTCTCCAGAAGTCCTGAGGCTTCTGTGGAGCTTCCTACTTTGGCTGCTTCTCACAGCTTTTCCTATCTTTCCTTCCTGCTATTCTCCTTCAGTTCTACAGCGAGTCGGGCATGCCTACCAAACTTTTTTTTTACAGCGTGTGTGCTGTGTGTGGGCAGCAGATCTTTGTGGACGTCAGTTTTTTTTTTATCATTGAGAACACGTATAGGCTGTCCTGCAATCATGTGTATCCTGCTTTTTTTTTCTGGGCCACATCTCTCCTGCAACCTGCACACTCCAGTGAGGGAGAGATTTTTTTTTGTCATGACCCTAGGTGTGCTGTCCAGACCCTTGAGTGTAGGAGAGCCACGAGAGGGCTGCCTTCCCTGCGCTTTCCCACAGATCAGAGCCACTCTTAGTTAAATTTTTTTTTCAGCCTGGCTGAGTCTGAGAGGAACCTGAGGCTGTAGCTAGTGAGGCTTTTTTTTTTGACCTGAGATCTGACCAGTCACAGGGGAAGAGGACCCTCTAATGGGTTTTTTTTTTTTAGCATCAAATCCCCTATTCTGAATAACACTTCTAATATTTATCATTTTTTTTTCCAGCTCCCATTCTGTGCCTATGTTGAGAGAGCCATGTGTCGTCTCCTTTTTTTTTCATAACAATCTTGTGAGACAGGGATCATTATCCTTACTTTACATGTGAGGAAACAGGTTCAGACAGAGGGACTTGCCCAACATTACAGAGCTGATAAAGCGTGTTTTTTTTTTTTGAATCTTTTAAAGACTGGCCTGGGGCTGGAGTGCCGCCCTGGCTCTCACCATTTCCCTTGACCAGCGGTGCTCAGCTTCCACGAGTTCTGCATCCGCGGCTGGTGCATCGTGGGAAAGAAGCAGACGTGTCCCTACTGCAAAGAGAAGGTAGACCTTTTTTTTTTGTTCAGCAATCCGTATCCTTTATTGGGGTCCTTGTTGGGAGTGGGCTGTGGGAAGAAAGTACTGGACAGTGTGACCTGCATTTGGGTCCTCCTGGGGCCCTCATTTTTTTTTTCAACCTATTCTCAGCCTCCTTGCAGCCATTGTCACGGACAGATAGATTTTTTTTTGCCTTAGGCTGTGTTTTCTTACATTGGCAGTTCCTTCTTAGAGAATGTTTTTTTTTAGGCCATCCCTGCATGTTAGTCGTGGGGAACTAGGATTTCTCTCTCTTTTTTTTTTGGGGCTGCCCTGCCTCCCATACCAGTCCCCTCTGTTTGCCTCCTGCATTTTTTTTTTTCAGCTCTACTCCAGTGGACAGGCTGTGAGGAGGAAGAGGAGGGGGTTTTTTTTTTTGGGAGTAGGCTGAGTAGGAAGTGAGGCTGGGCCCTTCCAGAAAGCTTTTTTTTTTCTAGGCTGTGGAGCAGCTGGAAGGTGGGGCAGACCCAGGGAGCCCCACCACCCATGCTAGATCACTCCTGGCAGCTCTTGCACAGAGCCTCTTTTCTTTAACTTTTTTTTTGCTGGGAGAGGCCTCACGTCATGTATGGGCAACTGCTGGACTGGCTTTTTTTTTTTGTAGCCTGGCAGCCTGTCATCATTGGCCTAGTCCAAGGCATCAACTATTTTTTTTTCCTGGAATAGTGACGAAGAGCATCAGTGGAGAACCCACCCCACACGCCGTGGAGCTCAGGGCACTCTCCTCCCTGCCCACAAAGACCTCCTGGGTGGGAAAGATTTTTTTTTGCGCTTGGGCCACTCAGGACCCCTCCGGTTGTGTCGGACTGGGGAGGGTTATGATGGAGACCCAGCCAGTGGGGCTATCAGCAGTGGGGGGCTTTTTAAAAGATTTTTTTTTTGATGAATATATTTTAAAAACTTTTTTTTTTTTTTTTGATTGTGGAGTTTTTTTTTTGCCCCCCTCCAGGCTTCAACCTCCCTGCCTAAGCAGGGTGGGGGCATTTTTTTTTCATTTTTGGTTTAAAGGAGCCTTCTCATCTCTGGCCGAGAACACTGCTTTTTTTTTAGGTAGCTGAAGACCTCAGCCCACCCATTCCCTTGTTCCCTGTGTGGAGCTCAAGCCTGGTGCACTTAGTATAGAAGAGCTAATGTACTCAGGTTGGTGCCACGGGTGAGCACTGAGGCCCCAAGTGTCCTCCCTCCCCCACTGTCTGGGACAACAGGATTTTTTTTTTGTCTGACTCTGTCTCCCCCTGTCCAGGAGCTATAGGCCGGTTGAGGTTTTTTTTTTTATCAGTGACTTGTCCAACAAGGGAAGCCTTGGGGCCTCAGAATTCTTTTTTTTTTTGTTTTGGGACAACTGGAAGAATCAGTACCATGGATACTTGCCCGTTTTTTTTTTTGTGGTCAGCCAAGAATAGAGGTCATATAGTTGGGCTGTGGGGCAATTGTTGGCAGCCATGACTGACGGCCCCTTGTGCAAGCTCATTCTTCAGTGGATCCTTTTTTTTTTTGGTGACACGTGCCAGCGGTCACTCTGCCACATCACTTCTTTCTTGAATTTTTTTTTGTGCGTATGCATGTGTGTGTGTCTGTGTGTGTGTGTGCACGTGATGCTTTTTTTTTTGACAGATGTCAACTTCTCCCTGTGTCAGATGATATGCCCTTGAAGCTTTTTTTTTATTCCCAGTCCAGGGAATATCCCTACATGATTTTTGTCATTCATGGGTTTTTTTTTGGCCTGCCAACAAGAGTGGTGGGTGGGTAGAGGGATAAGGCCCAAGTGAGTACAGGTTCTGAGAGGGGGCTTCTAGGAAGGCCCCAGCCCTAGTACTAGGCGATTTTTTTTTAGTGGGAGGTCAAACATGAGCCTTTGGCATTGGGTTTCTAGGGAATATTTTTTTTTAGGGCCTGCTCCTTCAAGGGCAGCAAGAACCAAGCAGGATGTTGTCATTTTTTTTTGAATAAAGCTCCATGAGCTGGGTTGGAAAGCTGAACATTTATCTTGCTTTTTTTTTCCCACCTCTTTCCCTGGGGTCTCCAGGGGTGTCTTGCCTTTGCTAACTTTTTTTTTAGACCTGAGGGTCTGGGGATGGTTGGGCCTGCCTTTCTGCTGTTCCTGGCTGTTCCCCTGCCGACATCCCTAGGAGTGGTGGAATGCCAGGCTCCTGTCCTGTTTTTTTTTTGGGCCTGGGGCATCACTGGGCCTGCTTTCAGACTGAGGTTGCTCTATGTTCTCACTGCCTGAGGCCAGTGTCCTGCCACCACTTGCCTTCCTTAGGGCCATACTTTTTTTTTGCTTCTCTTCCCCAGCTGTGGCTTCCCATGGTACCCTGCTGCTTATGCCACCTGTGGGGCTGCTCCCCTCCTCAGAGAGGGGAATGGGGCTGGTCAAAGGACCTTTTTTTTTCCCTTTCACTTTTTTCCCCCACCCCCATGTCAGGCTCAGGTGAGAAGCCGAGGCCAGGCTGTCCAAAGCTCTTTTCATGTGTAACAGTCCTGAGTCCCTTGACCTCCCCTTGGCCCAACTCTGGCCTTGGTTCCACTAAAGGCAGAGTCCTCTTGTCTCTTTTTTTTTTCCCCCACTGGACTGTGTCTCTCAGAAACCCCAGGCAGCCTTGCCTCTTTTTTTTTTTCCTGGAGATGCTGGTGTTCCTGGGAGGAATTTCCCCTGCATCTTATTTTTTTTTAGCCCCTGGGGCAAGAGGTAGGGGGAGGAATTGAGAGGAGGAAAAACTTTTTTTTTATACCTAGAGAAGAAGGATGTGACTTGTAGTCTCCTATGTCTAAATTTTTTTTTTTAATCTGGTTTTTCTACAAGAAACTTGAGATCACAGCTGACTGTGTTCTTTTTTTTTCCACCAAACCCAGTTCCATCTGTGGGCCTCCCTGGCTCTGTCACCAGCCCTTGCACCCTCCTGATCACAGGAGTCACAAACCTCAGACGTGCAGCTCCTGTCCACACTTAATGTATGCATGCACATTGGATCACCCAGCCCTGGTCTTTCTGCTTCCATTTTTTTTTTCATGACCCTGAGAGGGAACCTCCTTAGATTTAGCATCCTAGGTTCCTCACATGCCTCACCCTGAAACCTGGCCCTCCCGCAGCCCCAGCACCATTTGTCCCATCAGTGACCAGATTCATATTCTGGTGTAGCCTCTGTTGCCGGAGCCAGTGCCGAACCTTTTTTTTTTTTCCCCGGGAAGTGCCCGCCCTTCCCTCCTGTTAGGGTTGGCTCTCTTTTTTTTTTACCAGTTCCTGGGTTGGCCGTGAGAGTTCTACAGACAAGGGGGAAGTTTTTTTTTTGTATTTCCTGTGGTGGGTGTACATGCAGCTAGACACAGCTAACTTGTTTTTTTTTGCTCCTAGAGGGGAGCTTCTGGAAAGGAAGCTTCTTCAGGACCTCTCTTTTTTTTTGTAGGAGTCTGGAACTACTAGTGAACCTAGACCTGTAGCTCTGGCCAGAGGGGCTAGGATGAGAGACAGAGGGTGTGATGGTGGGTGCTGGGAGTTGCAGCCGACCTTGGGGCTGGTGGCTGGGGGAGTGGGGAGCCTGGGAAAGGCCAGGATGTGGATGGGCTGGTATGGCATTGAGCCTGAAATGGTCCAACTTGGGGTCCCCAGTGCCTAGGTTTTTTTTTCCCTTGAATATTAGTGTGAAGGTGAAGGAGGAAGCAGATGCCTGTTCTTTTTTTTTCAAAGACCTGGCTGTGAAGAGGGGAGGTGAACACCAAAGTCCTGACATTTTTTTTTGGCAGAATTGATCTGTGAGAGACTCTTACCTAGTTCACACCTAGTGATTTTTTTTTTGGCGTGGGGTAGGTTAGAGATCCCAGTCTGGTATCTGGAGAGTAGGGGTCCCAAGAACTGAAGGTTTCTGGCCACTGAACTTTGGCTAAAGCAGAGATGTAATTTTTTTTTAGGATTCCCTGGTTAAAAAGTGAAAGTGAAATAGAGGATGGGGGCAGTGCTTTCCCAGAAGGCTTGCTCGGCATCCTGCCCTTCCCAGAAGCAGCTCTGGTGCTTTTTTTTTCACTGCCTCCCTGTGTGACTGGGTGAGTCCATATTCTCTCTTTGGGTTTTTTTTTTGCTTTCCCTAATGAAGGGGTAAGATTGGACTAGGTAAGCATCTTATATTTTTTTTTGGTCCTGAGAGCTGGCGTGGGGAAAGATTGTCACTTGATGACCCCTCTTTTTTTTTTCTGAGTGCTGAAAGAGCTCCAGGCTATGCTACGGGAGGAAAAGCCATTTTTTTTTAAAAAGCGGGAGTGGTTTACCATTCTCCTCCCCCACCTTTCACCAGATTTTTTTTTATTGTCACAGATAAAGAGCCAGCTCACCAGCTCCTGACACATGCATCGTGACCATGAGACACAACTGGACACCAGGTAGGCCTTGGGGCTACGCATGGGCAGGTTTTTTTTTGTGAGGTCTATGAACAGAATGGAGCAATGGGCTAACCAGGAGCCTTCTTTTTTTTTGGCAAACACCACCCAACAAACCTGGTGCTGCTGCTTTAAGAACCTGGTTTTTTTTTGTGGCTCTGGCTCCATTCTAAAGCTCCTCTGTACTCTATTCAATAAGTTTTTTTTTGGGTGGGTGCTGAGGGGCTCCTTTTCCCACTCTGATTCCCTGGCTAGAGCCCAGACATCTCTGGGCTGGAGTTACATCCTTACCCGGGCAGCCCACTCTGTCTCCAGTCCAGATATGAGCCAGGATGCTGAGCGCTCCCAGGCAGCCCAGCCGCTGACCTTTTTTTTTCCTTTCCTCAGACCTCAGCTTCTTGTGGGTCCTGCTGTGTGCCCACATTTTTTTTTTTCTGGTCAGAGCCACACCTGTCTCGCAGACCACCACAGCTGCCACTTTTTTTTTTAGAAGCACAAAGGACCCCTGCCCCTGCCAGCCCCCAGTGTTCCCAGCAGCTAAGCAGTGTCCAGCATTGGAAGTGACCTGGCCAGAGGTGGAAGTGCCACTGATTTTTTTTTACAGTGGTCAAGGGTGGGCTATGGGCACAGAGGTTCCCAGGGTCGGGTTGACTCCTGAGTGCCAGCCCCCTTCTGCCATGCACCACCAGCTGGGCCAGCTGGACTGAGCATGCACCATTCTCCCTCCCCAACCCACTGTCATGGGTGCAGGCTTAGCACTTTTTTTTTGATGCTCCCTATGAAGTAGGACAGAGAACTCAAGACATAAGTAATGGTTTTTTTTTTCCCAGAGCCTTGGTTGCAGTGAACTCCAAGGCCAGCCCCGCCACCCAGAGCCTGCGGGCCTCTGGCCATCTCAGAGGAGCAGTAGCCATCCAGCACTGCCTCTTTTTTTTTGGTTCCCAAGTCACCGAGGCTGGGCACTAGAAAAGGTCATCCTGAGGTTTTTTTTTCAGTAGAGGAGTCATCACGTGAACCAAGGACCCTTCCTCACATTCCCTTTTTTTTTGGGCTAGGGCCTCTCAGAGACAACTGCACTTCCCCTTTAACAGACATTTTTTTTTTGGTGGTGTGCAGAGCAGTTCTCTAGGTTCCAGATTCATGGGGACTGATTTTTTTTTGCAGGGAGGGCACAGCAGGGCAGGGCAGGGGAAGGGCCTGCTCTTTGTTTTTTTTTACTACTGCCTGTGTCCCTAGATGGAACGCTGACCTTATCCTGTACGGTTTTTTTTTGCTTCCCCAACTTCAGCATGCTCTACTGGCTGGGCAATGGTTCCTTCTTTTTTTTTCTCCCAGGCCAGCTGTGGGAGGGGAGCACCAGGTGAGGGTCGCAGCAGCCAGGTGGGTGGGAAGGCGGCCTTTTCTGCGGCCCTCTCATGACCTTTCCTTCCCTTTTTTTTTAGCCGGGAACATGGGAGCACAGGTACGCGGCTGTACAAGGCCTTGGTGCTGGAGCAGCTGACCCCTGCGCTGCACAGCACCAACTTCTCCTGTGTGCTCATGGACCCCGAACAGGTTGTCCAGCGTCACGTCATCCTGGCCCAGCTCTGGGTGAGGAGCTTTTTTTTTGGCCTCCAGCAATAGGAGGAGCTCTTCTTCCATATGTGGGGAGGAAAGGGTGGGCTCTGCCAGAGCAGCCTCTAAACTAATGCCCAGCATTCCTCAAGGTCAGTTTTTTTTTAAGGAACTTGGGTCTTGGGCAGGGGAGGTGTGGCGTGGGGCAAAGTGTTTTTTTTTCCCTTGTTTCCTTGGCCTGATCCTTGTCTGCCTTCACTTCCCTAGGCTTTTTTTTTGACAACCTTGCCCCCCACCCAAGAAGCCCTGCCCTCCAGCCACAGCATTTTTTTTTAGCAGCCTACAGCAGCAGGGTTAAGACTCAGCACAGGGCCAGCAGCATTTTTTTTTTGAGCAGAGCCTGGGTCCTACCCGTCTACCTGAAGTGAACAGTCCCTGACTGCCTGCAGGCTGTGTGGGCGAGCAACGCACCCCCTCCTCCTCTGCTTTGGGTTTTTTTTTTCACCAAATTCCAACTCCATTCCCACCTACCTGGAAAATCGCAGCCTCTTTTTTTTTATGCCTCCTCCTCCTCCTGCCATTTTCTCTCTACCTACCCATTAGCTTTTTTTTTTTCCTACTCCTCACACTGCTGTACTGCTCAGAAACCACCAAGACTGTTTTTTTTTTTGCCTTGCACTCCAGGGCCCTACCTACATTTCCCACATGACTTTCCGGTTTTTTTTTACTATTCTTGCTTTCCCCAGACAGCTCCCACTCCCATGTCTCTGCTCTTTTTTTTTCGTCTTCCTCACCATCCCAGCAGGGGAACTCTGAAGCCTGGTTGAAATTTTTTTTTTTCAATGAAGTTACCCTTGTTCAGCTCTGGCCACATTCTGCAGACTTTTTTTTTTTTTGCTGTATGTTTTTTTGTTGTTTTCCTTCACTCTAATGGACTGATCTTTTTTTTTGATGGGGGCAGTGGCTGCTTCGGCTCCACACTGTATGTGTCATCCCCTTTTTTTTTCTCATAAAGGATTATTCAATAGAGGCATCCTGACATCTGTTCATTTATTTTTTTTTTCCACTCGCAGGAACTTTGCCTGTCCCAGGAGGGAGTATGGGAGAGAGGGACTGCCACACAGAAGCTAAAGACAAAACCTGCTTCAGGCCGGGCGCGGTGGCTTTTTTTTTTAATCCCAGCACTTTGGGAGGCCGAGACGGGCGGATCACGAGGTCAGGTTTTTTTTTCCATCCTGGCTAACACGGTGAAACCCTGTCTCTACTAAAAAGTACAATTTTTTTTTCGGGCGAGGTGGCGAGCGCCTGCAGTCCCAGCTACTCGAGAGGCTGATTTTTTTTTACGGCGTAAACCTGGGAGGCAGAGCTTGCAGTGAGCAGAGATCCGGCTTTTTTTTTCCAGCCTGGGTGACAGAGCGAGACTCCGTCTCAAAAAAAAAAAAAAATTTTTTTTTAACCAAACCTGCTTCAGGGGTACACAGGCTCTTGAAAAAGAAGAGAGTTTTTTTTTTAATGCTCCCCAGGAGCAGAGGCCAGTAATGGAGACTGGGAAGAGCCTTTTTTTTTGCGCCTCCAGGAAAAGGGATGAGAGAAAGGAGGTGGTCTGAAAGACTTTTTTTTTTCAAGGTAGGCTCCAAAGAGCCTAGATTTCCCCTCCTTTTCCCACATATTTTTTTTTAATTCAGTACTCACGGGAGAAAAATAGACTTTATTTACAAGTAATAATTTTTTTTTAAGATCCATCCCCGGCCCTTAAAAACCTTCCCATCACTCCAAATCCCTTTTTTTTTCAAGTCTGGGGAAGGTAGGGTGTGAGCTGCCGCTGAAGGCTGTCCCCCAACCCCACTCCTGAGACACAGGCCCATCGTCCTGGGAAAGAGCATCCTCTGGCAGTTTTTTTTTCCAGGTCAGACCCAGTCCTGGACTTCAAGAGTGAGGGCCCCTGCTAGGCCCAGCCTCCAGGAGAGCAGGAACCAGGGCCTACTCCTCTTATGGTCCCTTCTAGATCCAGAGGCTAAGAGGAAGACTGGCCAGGCCCAAGGACCCAGCCATCAAAACCAGTTTTTTTTTTTGGTTGTGATGGAGAAGTGACTTTGCTTTAAGAAAAAAGGAGGCAATTTTTTTTTAGCGCCCACACTGTCCATGCTCCAGGCCTCCTGGGCCAGCTCTGAGAAGTTGCCAGTGAAGGTCCAGGGACCAGGTCAGGGTGCGGGCAGGCATCACTGTCTCTAGGGGTTTGGCTACTGTTGGCCTGGGAGCTGAGAGAAGGCACTGAGAGGGACAGTTTTTTTTTTACCAGGTGAGGTCAGCATCAGCGACACAGGTGGGGCCACTCACTGGTTTTTTTTTTTTAGTGCTTTGCCTGAAAGAGACAGTCACAAGGCCAGATGAGAACTTTTTTTTTTTGCCTGCACCCACAGGTTCGGAAGACCTCTTCCTGCTCTCACGCCCCCTTTTTTTTTCCCTCCCTTGTGAGCCCCGGGGTTATCAGGTGCTGGCTGTGCCTGAGTTTTTTTTTGTGCTCTCCATAAGAATGGGGCCATCTGTCTTCTCTCCTTGGTAACGTTTTTTTTTCACGACAGCGACACCTCTTACCCTGCACCCTCCTGCAGCCTGGCGTGTTTTTTTTTTGGATGCTACTCCGTGGGGCGGTCTAGGGGGTGCCCATGCTCTCATCTTTTTTTTTTCCCCCATCCTGCCAGTGGCCTCTACCTTGCCCTTGGCTCGAGGGGTGGCAGTGGTGGCAGCAATGGCAGCAGCAGTGGCGGCGCTGGCTGTAGTGGTGGCGATTTTTTTTTAACGGCGGGTTCCACTGCGAGTGTTGGGGGAAGCCTTGGACAGGGCCTTTTTTTTTGCTCCCCGCCGCAGAAGGCTGTTCCCTAGCTTCTTGGGTGTGTTGAGTTTTTTTTTGGCCATCGACTGGCGCCGGTCAGCCTGCAAGGAAGGGCTGTCAGACCTTTTTTTTTAATGCTGCCCTCCCAGGCCAGCCTGCTGTGTGACACTCTGCCAGCAATTTTTTTTTAGGGCGTCGCTTCATCCCCCTTCAGCCCCAGCCTCACCTGTTTAGTTTTTTTTTTTGCCGCTTTCTTCTGGGCCTCAGTAGCACTCTGTTTGCGCCCTTCATGTTTTTTTTTGGGAGTCATGGGGCGTGGGAAACAGCTGGTGGCCTTCTTAGACTATGTTTTTTTTTACAGTTAGGCAGACAGTAGCAAGAGTCGTCACATCTGAAGCCAAGTGTTTTTTTTTTTTAGAGCTGAGTGGACCTTGTAAGTCAACTTGTGCAACCTGCTCCCTTTTTTTTTTCTGGGCCAGAGGCTTCCCTTCCCAACAGTTCCCATCCATGGGTTAGTTTTTTTTTGAGAGGGAAGGAGAAGGGGAAGTGAGGGAAGGAGAAGGGGAGAGAGGTTTTTTTTTCTTTAGTCCTTGGTGAGCTGGGCCTGACCTGGGCACAATGCTGGAGCAACACCCAGAAGCCTACCTCAGGAGTTCCAGGGCCCTGGTGGGGCTCTAAGGAGACTTTTTTTTTCTGCTGCCGGGTGGTGATGCCAGTGCCCTCGGCTATCTGGATTGGCTTTTTTTTTTCTCGGCGCAGGGTCTCCTGGGGATCTCCAGTTTTCATCTCCTCATCTGTGATGGTGCCCAGGCTCAGGGAAGGCTGCATGGGTGGAAGAGGCGGTCAGTGGACCGTAGCTGTGTGGAGATGGAGCAGGACCTGGGGCTGTCCCAGAACTCTGCACTTGCTTTTTTTTTAGGGTAGGCAGACCCTTCCTACCTCTCACGAGGCCTCCCTTCCTGTTTTTTTTTTTACCTATACCCCGGGCAAATGGCCACAAGCAGTGCAGTCCCGACCAGATTTTTTTTTGAGCTCCTGCTCATCCCCAGGGACTTCACTCCTAAGCACCTTCCCTGTTTTTTTTTCTGCCTGGAAGCATGAGAAGGTCACCCTCCCCGTCCTTGGCCGGTCATTTTTTTTTGGCTCTAGTGCTCAGGCTAGATCAGCAGGTGGGATTCTAAGGGAGGATTTTTTTTTGAGGCCCTGCACAGTGACCCCAGGGCTCACCCTGGACTCCAGGGGATTTTTTTTTTTCAGGTGTGGGGGGCACACTCGATTGCGCTGCTGCAGCTCTGCAATGCGGTTCCAGTCATCCAGCTGCTCAGGCTCATCCTGGCAAGTGCCCATGTAGAAGCTGTTCCTTCCTGTGGATGGCAGGGAGGTGGGAACAAATGAGCCCGGAGTCAGCAGGTTGCCTGCTGGCCCTGGCATCTTGCCAGCCTTTGCTGCCACCTACCCCTTAAACTTGTTTTTTTTTACACCAGTCTGATTCAGTGCCGCAGGTGCAGGAGTACGGCACACAGACTATTTCTATCCTAGGGGCTTGCTCACCGCCTTCTCCTTGGAGAGGGCAGAAGAGGTTTTTTTTTGAGGCTGCTACTACATCTTATTCACCAGCCAAGGCTTGGTGCCCAACTTTTTTTTTAACAAATTAAGGACCAGGAATTGATTCCCAGGGGCTCTCTGGTGCCCAAAGGACAAGAGCTTCCAAGAAGAGTCTGGCCAGCCTGGCTGGCCTTTCCAGCAGCTTTTTTTTTCCTAAGGGCATGGAGGACTCCCCACAGCTAAGTGTCACAATTGTGCTGGGAATCCCAGGCCCTTAACTCTGGCTAAGAGTGCCCCTAACACAGCCAGCCCCTATTTTTTTTTGTAAGGAAGGCCCTGAGGCTGCAGGAAGGAGGGGCAGGTGGAGGTGGACGGTAGCAAGGAGGCCAGCCTTGGATTTTTAAAAAGCTTTCCTCTTTTCCCTGTGTTTTTTTTTACCTTCCATTCTAATTTTGGGGTATAGTAAGTCCCTGTAGCCCCCTCACCTGGAGGGGCCCCACTGGACACCCCGGCCTGGGAGCGACGAGCAGAACTGCGAGTGGTGGGGCGGTAGCCAGGCAAGCTGAGCAGGGCTGAGTTGCCATAATCGGGAGAATTTTTTTTTGCTAGAGACTGAGTAGAGGAGGTGGCTCGCAGGCTAGCCTGGGAAGCTTTTTTTTTCCGCGTGCTATAGAAGGATGAGTTGGCGCTGTCTGGCTCTTCCACATTTTTTTTTTGGAAGAGAGAGTGAATCTGTTGCAATGGGGTGGGCCCTGGCACTATATTTTTTTTTCCCATTCCCTCCCAAAGCCCTCAGATCCCACGGCACATCCGTGCATTTTTTTTTTTTTTGCAAAGGCCCTTAACGTGTGTCTGCAAGAAATGGGCCTTGTTGACAGAAGCCCTCACAAGGTGGTGCTGATGTTGTCAAGACTCTTTTCTATGCATCTTTTTTTTTTTTTCTATTCATAATGCTTTGAGGGAGGGAATGCAGAGTGTTTATCGGCCTTTTTTTTTGGTGAAGTGCAAAGAAATGAAGTGACTAGCCCCAAATCACACTGCTAGGAAGTATCAGAGCTGTCTCCTGACTAGTCAGGCTTATCCCACAGCCTCTGCTGTCTTTTTTTTTAAGCTTCCAGGGCCCTTACCATTTTCTACAACTTCCCCAACTTCTTGGTAGCAGGGGACACCCTGCACACACAGGTCCTCCCTGCTGTACCGGGGCCCCTCTCCCCTCCTCCCAAACCTCTCCTTCAAGATGTGGAAACAAAGGCAAGGGCCCACAGCCTGGCAGGTAGTCCACTGGGCAGCAACAATGCCTCTCAGCTACATGGGGCATGCTGGTTTTTTTTTGATGGGCTGCAGCTTCACCATGTTCTCTCCCTTCACCCTGCACAGGCTTTTTTTTTCACATGGAGAGAACACTAGCCTTAGTCAGGAGGCAGGGATCTAATCCTTTTTTTTTCCTTTTCTTCAGAAGTGCCCCTAACCAAGTCACTGCCCTTTTTAAGACCTCAGCTTTCCCACTGTAACATGGACTGGCTGCTCATCCCTGCCTGCTCCTGACTTTTTTTTTTATGCAAAGACGCCCTTGAGAGGAAGTGGGAATTGCTGCCCTGCAGCCCCTGTCCCGACAGCCTGACCTTGGTCATGGTGATGTTGATGATCTGTGTGGTGCGCTTTTTTTTTGAGCGGGTCTTACGACCTGAGTCCAGGAAGACATCTCCCAGGGAGTCCAGGCTGCTCTCCAGGGGGGCCTGACTCCGAGCAGGGATGGGAGTGAAGTAGAGACTCTCCAGGGATTCTACCTTGGGGGGCAGGCGCTGGGAGATAGGTGAGGCTGGTTCTCCAGGGACGCTGGTGCCGTCTGGCTGGGTACGAGGCAGCTTGCTATGGAAAGGAAATTTTTTTTTGTACAGTCCTTTGGGCTAGAAGGCATTTTGTCCAGCCCTTTTCCAAATTTTTTTTTTCCCATACTATAAGCAGATGAGGTCAAGCAGCCCATCTCTCTGAATTTTTTTTTTTACCAAGGAAAGCCCTTGACCTGGGCCTTCCCTTCAGTCCACTCCCCTGGCTTCTCCTAATACCTCCTCATAGTGGCAATGCCCAGACCCAGATGTCCCATCCTTTTTTTTTTCCCATGGCTGCTCCACAGCAAACACTTCCCAATCTAAGCCCACTTCTTTTTTTTTTCTCCTTCATCTCCCATTTCAGTGAATACGAGCACCTGCCACTCAGGCTTTTTTTTTATGAACGTGGGCATAATTCTATGTTGTCCTGCTTGGGAAGCCCAATCACCAAGCTTCCTGAACAGCTCTCCTAACCATACCCTCTCCATGCTTATGTCCTTTTTTTTTTTTTTCTCATCTCCTCTCACCTAGACTCATCATGGCACTGACAGAGGCAGATTTTTTTTTACAAGCAAGGACTCAGGGCAGGCTGCACAGGGTCAAACCCCAGCTCTACCACTGGGGGACCTTGGGCAAGTGACTGCCCCTCTATGCCCCAGATTCATCTGTTTTTTTTTTTAGAATAAACCTACCTCAGAGGGTTGTTGGGGGATAAATCAGGTATAATTTTTTTTTGTGCTTTATGTCTAGCACAAAATAAGTACAATGTAAGTGTTTAATAATTTTTTTTTGTATTTCCTTAACAGTCTTAACTTCTATACTGGCTATTAGAATCATCTTTTTTTTTTGGAAATTAACCATGTACTCTTCAGTTTCAAATTCTTCCAAGGTTCCTTTTTTTTTTCCCCTTAAACCTTTCAATTATAGCCACCAAGGTTTCCTCAATGCCTTTAGGATCAAGTCTTAATAGCCGGTCTCCAACGGGGAGTCCAGATGGCCCTCTAGGATCTTGGGCCTTCCTGGCCTTGCATCTCAGCCTAGTCAGGCTCTTTCACAGCCTCTTTTTTTTTTGCTCTTCTCTGTCAACCTGGCACACACACCTATGGATGCTTTCAAGATTTTTTTTTAGCGACAGCTTCCATGAAGCCTTTCTTGACCGCTTGCTTTTTATTCCTTTTTTTTTCTAAACAGACATCTGGTATAATACCTGTTTTTCTTTATTCTTCTCTATTTTTTTTTTTGGATCACATCTTATTTATCTCACCAGGATACAGCCTGATAAACAGTTTTTTTTTCATAAACAACAGACATAGGGAGGAAGAGTGCCTCCTGACCTAGTGATTTTTTTTTTGGTCCCCTCCTCGCAGCTCAGATCCAGGCTGTCAATACTCAAGTCCAGCTGGGGCTTAGCCTGGGGCTCACGGCTCTTTAAAGCATCAGTTGCCACCTGGAATTTGCCCAGGTCTCGAAGCTGCTGGTCTGCGTGGGCAACCTGAGAAGGAGAGGGCCATTTTTTTTTTGAAGAAAAACCTAAGGCATCAGTGGCCTAGGAGGAGAGGGCACAGGGGTCCAGTGGGATAGGGGTGAGGTGAGTCTGCCAGCCAAATTCTTACCTGTGCCTCTTTTTTTTTCACCTGGGCAGTAAGGTGGCGGCATGTCTGTTCAGCCTCCTTGGTCTTTTTTTTTTCCTGCTGTAGCTCATGGCCCAGCCGTTCGGCTTCAGCTCGCAGCTCTTTTTTTTTTTTCTGCAGGTGCTCCAGGCTCTGCAGCTGCTCCTGCAGCTCTTGGTTTTTTTTTTTCTTGGCATCATAATGAGTTTTGGCTTTCTCCATCTGTGGGCAGAGAGTTTTTTTTTGTGGGGCAGAGGCTGGAGGGCAGGAGGAAGGTAGCATGGGCTGGGGCTTTTTTTTTTACCTGCAGCTTATAGTGCTCAGCTGCCTGCTCCTTCTGGCTCAACTTTTTTTTTTGTTCATTCAGCCGGGCCTGGAGGCGCTGGGCCTCCTGCTGGCTCTCACCTCCCTGAGCCTGGACAGCCTGAGAAGAAAGTCCACTCAGGAAAGCTGGTCTGGCTTTTTTTTTCAAGTCCACTCATCTGCATCAGCCACTGGGGCTCCAGAGGTGCTTCAGACTCCTGAACTTAGGAAGAGGAAGAAAACCACACCACCCCAGATACACTCCACCCTTTTTTTTTCTACTGAACCTGAAGTCCACACGCCCTTCAGTCCACATCCATAGTGGTTTTTTTTTGACCAGCTCCTGCCCTATCTTTGCCTTCTTTGAGATAGGACACAAACTGTCTCACCCTCTTTGCATGCACACACAATCTCCCCTAGGAGGAAGGGAACCGATCTTTTTTTTTCACCCAGGTGCGGAGCCTGGAGTGAGGCACTTGGCATGTGAGCTCTCTGAGGACAGGGGAACTTGTTTCTCCTCAAAGCCACTCTGAGAAGTCACTTCATCCCTTTTTTTTTGGAGGAAACTGAGTTCAAAGATTTAAGCAAATTGACCATAGCAACAATTTTTTTTTGGCAGAGTAAGACTTGGTCCACTAAACTCCAAAAGCCCGTGGGGGCTTTTTTTTTTTGCCCACACTGCCTCCTGTCCAGACTATAACTCCTTAAGAACAGGGCTTTTTTTTTTGTCCATCTGCAAGGCCAGCAAGTACTCTGCGGTAGATACGGTAGAGTTTTTTTTTACCTTTGCCTCTCCTAACACAGGACAGGCCCCACAAGGAGCAGAATATTTTTTTTTTTATTGCAATCAAGACATGCTGTGGCACCATGGTATGAAATGAAGCTTTTTTTTTTCACCAACTCCTAGGACCCACCAGGGCTTTAGTGAGTCCCAATACCACTTTTTTTTTATTCCTTTGCCCCTGACTAAAGGCTGTGAAGCCTAGAACTGCAGAAATTTTTTTTTAAACCAAAGAAGGTGACACAGTTGGAATCATTAAGAATGTTATTAAATTTTTTTTTAATATTCAACACTGGTGACACTCGTTCTTTCCCTGCCCAGACTATCTTTTTTTTTTTGGTTCAACAGAACTTTATGCAGCGGTGGAAAGTTCTGTATCTGTGCTTTTTTTTTCAGCAGTCACTAACCACATGTAGCTACTGAGCAGGGACACAATGTAGTTTTTTTTTTTGAAGAACTGGATTTACTTTAATAAATTTCAATAACCACACATGACTTTTTTTTTCTGTAGTGGACAGTGACAGTTGAGAGATGGGAACCACCCTGGTTGTCTCTTGAGAGCTCCCAGAAGACACATGCAGGGGCTTCTAAGCCACAGGCTTCCTGGGAGGGCTGCCTGGAACACAGGGTGCCCCTCCTCTGCCCACACACCCCCACGGCCCGAGAGCTTAGAGAACAGCTTTCCTCCCCTGTCCAGAGGCCAGACCCGTTCCCCCAGCTTTTTTTTTTTCAGCTTCTGCTGCTGCACTTTGCTGGCTTGGTCAGAGTCAGCCAGTTTTTTTTTTAGTTCTTCCACCTGGGGAGGGAAGAGGAGGACAGAAGACTCAGGAGGACTTCCCCTGGATGTTCATCCCAGATGTCCACCCATCATGGGGTGGCCCAGACCAGTTTTTTTTTCGTTCCTAGAATAAACTCAGGCCCTTTCTCTGGCCTCCAATTAGGGAACAGCCTGCTGCCCAGGCTGCTTGGCAGGGCCTGAGTGAGGCAATCTAACACACAGTTTTTTTTTGGGCCACCTGTCCATACTTGCCTCTACCCTGAGCCTGCAGAGAAAGATTTTTTTTTAACCCCTGTCACCTCCAGAATCGGAATTGACTCTGGAGAGCTGACACCTCACCACCACCCTGCTGCTGCCACCACTCTGCAGCCGCAACCTTCCCAGGACCTATTTTTTTTTTCTAGCCGACATACTCAATGAATTGCCATGCCTCCCTCCCAGAAACTTTTTTTTTTCAAGCCCACAGATGCTCAGACCTCTTCCCAACATCCACAGGCTGTTATTTTTTTTTCTAGCAGCATGGCTGCTGTGGTTAGCATTGGGGGAACAGATTGCTGGTTTTTTTTTGCAGGTGTAGCACATGTACTCCAAAGCCCACCCAACTCCCACAAAGATTTTTTTTTGGAGTAGGGGAAAAGAAAGAACATAACAGCTCCATGCACCCCTGGCTTTTTTTTTTATTCTGGGAGTTCAAGCATGACCAGGCAGCACAGGGGAGAGGCAAGGTTTTTTTTTCTAACTGTTTGCTATTCACTTTGATTCTCCCCCATTATCACAGGCTCCTTAGAGGAAGAGGAGGGCCCAATTTTTCGGCAGTCCTGGGGTGGCTGGGTAGGAGTTTTTTTTTGAAAGGGTGCTCTAACACTAGCTCTATAGCCTCGATGTCTCAGGCAATTTTTTTTTTCCCGTGAGAAAGAGGCAGCCAGACCATGTGACCCCCCACTCCCCTGTTTTTTTTTGGTATAGACCCCTCCTGCTACTTCACCCTCAGCCTTCCTGCTACAGATTTTTTTTTGCTGTGCTCGGGGTTAGAGCCCCAGAAAGTGATGGGCAAGTGTCCTGAGCCCACAATTCTCCCTAACCTGTGGGGGCTGCCTCGCATATCACCTTCAAGGCTTTTTTTTTTTTGTACTCTGGTAAAAAGGGACACAATGTTAAACGAGGCCCACAGGTATTTTTTTTTTTCCTCTTAGTTGGGTATCCTTAACTAGACACAGTACTTGGGAAGTTTTTTTTTTTCAAAGATTGTGTCTGTCGTTGGTTTAGGTGTGGGAAAGATGAAGCCATTTTTTTTTCTTGTCCCTGACAGGCAGATGAGAGAAGGTGCAGAAGGGTGGAGAGGTTTTTTTTTGATGGGTGGGATGAAGCCCGAGAGAGCCCAGCACACCGCACTCCTGGGAAGCCTGGGCCTGGATTCCATGGCTTGACCCTGCCCCCTTCACAAACAGTTCACATTTTTTTTTGGCGGAGGCAAGCTGCAGCCGGGCTCATGCACCGAAACTGGTCACCGTTTTTTTTTCCAGCATTTAGCGAGGACCCCAGGCATTACCTGTTTAGTTTGCTCTCTTTTTTTTTCCTCTAGCTGCTCCACCTGTACATGGGGGAGGAGCAATGGAGACAGATTTTTTTTTGGCCAAAGAGGCACCAGCCCTGCTGCCAGGCTGACCTCACTGAGGCTTTTTTTTTTTCCCCTAAGGCGCTAGATTGACAGTAAGTTTTAAAATGCCAGTTACATTTTTTTTTGTCCCCAGTGGCTCCTGAGGCATCCAGTGCAGGTGCACCTCTGAATGTTTTTTTTTTCATCACAGCTTGACTCTCCAGTGACAGAGCCTTCAGGAGAGGGGAGGCCACTGACATTTTCTTTAGGATGACAGGGGCAACAGACTTGAACTCCATCAGCCATTTTTTTTTTTCTGCCACCCAGTGAATGAGGAAAGGCAAGACACTCCAGTGTAGGATTTTTTTTTCCTGGAACACAGGATCGATGTCCCCATGCTCTCAGCTCCTGATCTTTTTTTTTTTTGTTGGGCTGAGTACCTTACCTGGGCAGTGAGTTTCTGCTTCTCTTCCTTTTTTTTTTGCCTCTCCTCCAGGACCTTGACCTTGGCACCCTCATACTTGGCAGTTTTTTTTTTCAGCTCCCGGGCAGTGCTCTGTGCTTCCCGCTGCACCTCAGCCAGACTTTTTTTTTCATCAGCACGTACAGCTGCCAACTCTTGGACATACTTTTCCCGGGCCTTTTTTTTTTCCACTTCCAGAAACTGCCGGCCAAGGTTAGCCCGCTCACCCAGCCCTTTTTTTTTCTCTGCCAGCAGGCCATGCGCCTTCTTCAGCATGCTCAGCTGCTCTGTTTTTTTTTCCTTCTCTGCCCGCAGCTGCTGAGCTGTTCGCTCCTGCTCTGCCACCTTCTGCCGCAGAGGAATCAGCTCCCCAAGCTCCCGCTGGGCCCTCAGCAGCTCTGCTTTTTTTTTCCCAGCTGCCTGCTTGCTCTGCTCCAGCTCCTCACGGTGGCGTTTCTTTTTTTTTTCCTGCTCGGCCTGCAGCTGCTGGCAGAGGTGCTTAGCTGGCAGCAGCTTTTTTTTTAGGGCCTGTGTGCTGGTGTGCTCGAGCTGCAGGGTGGAGAGGGCCTGTTTTTTTTTGAAGAACTTCTCCTGCCACGCCTTCAATTCTTGGCCCAGCTCCTCCGTTTTTTTTTCCTGTGAGGTCAGCTCCTGCCGCAGGTTCTCTGAAGCCACCCGCTGTTTCTCGGCCTCCTCCCGGAGGCTCTGCACCTCCTCCCGCAAAGCAGAGCTGCGTTCTTTTTTTTTGGCACTGTTGCTGGCTGTCTCTGCCTGGAGCAGGCGCAGCCTGTCTTCCAGCTTCTGGCTCTTCTCTGACTCAGCCATCACCAGCCGCTTCAACTCCTTGCTCTTTTTTTTTTTCTCCAGGACCTGGCGATTTAGGATGGACACCTCCTCCTCCAAGCTTTTTTTTTTGCTGTTTTTCCTCTCAGCCTCTTGCCGGCCCCGGGCCACCTGGGCCTTCCACTCATCTTCAGCCTTGCTGTGGTCTTGTACCTTGGTGCGGAGGGCAGCCAACTCCCTTTGGGCCGAGGCTAAGGCACTCTGACTGTGCCCTAGCTCCCGGGCCTTCTCTTTTTTTTTGCCCTGCAGAGTCTCCAGAGCACTGTCCCGCTCAGCCCGGGAGGCCCTTTTTTTTTCGAGGCTGCGTTCCAGACTGTCGGCCTGCTCCTGCTGCTGCTGGCATTGCTGCTCCAGCTTGCTCACCTCTGCCCGCAGCGCCTCCAGCTTGGGGCCTGTTGGTTTTTTTTTGCCAGCAGCCTCAGATTGGGCTCCTGAGCCAGATGCGTGCTCCTTTTTTTTTTTTTCCAGCTGTTCCTTCAGTTGCTTCATGGTTTGCCTAAGTTCCTCCAGCTTTTTTTTTTGGGCTGCCTCCAGGCCACGAAGCTTGACCAACTCCTGGTCCTTGCCTTCCTTTTCCGTCAAGGCATGAGCCAGTGCCTCTTGCAGGGTAGCAAACTCCACACTTTTTTTTTTGAGGGCATTCTGCAGCCGCATCTCAAGCTCTGCTTTGGCCGCCTTCTTTTTTTTTAGATCAGCTTGGGCCCGGCCCCGCTCCTGGGTCAGTCGTGCCACCTCTTTTTTTTTCTGCCCACGCTCCTCCTGCTGCTGCCCCTGGCTCTCCATCAGTGCGGCCCGCAGCCGCTCCAGCTCATTGCCCATCTGCTCTGCCTCCCGTTCCATAGCCTGCTTTTTTTTTTGTGTGCTGCAGAACTGGCGTCCCTGTTGCTCTTCCAGCCACTCGGGTTTTTTTTTCCCTGCCCTCGCAGGCTCCTTGACTAACTCCCGGGAGGCTGTTTCCTTTTTTTTTTCTGCCTTGCGCACCAAAGTCTCCAAGCGGGCCACCTCTTTGCTAGTGTTTTTTTTTTTTTCCTGCAGAGCGGAGAGGTCGTCTGCAAGCTTCTGGGCCCTGACTTCCTTCTCTTGGACCTGCTGGAGTGCTCTGGCCAGGTTGGCGTGGAGCTCAACTATTTTTTTTTGCTGCCGGCTTATCTGGAGCTCGCTGTGGGATTCTATGCCTGCCACCTTTTTTTTTGCCTCCTGCAGCTCCTGGCGGGCCTTCTCACATTCTTCCTTCAAAGTTTTTTTTTTTTCCTGGAACATGGCTCCATACTGCGCCTCCTCTTGCTGGCTCTCCTTTTTTTTTTCACGCCAGGCAGCTACTTCTTTGACAAGCTGCTCACACTCACTCTCAGCTGTGCGCTGGGCAGCTATGGCCTCTGCCAGCTCCTGCCGCAGGACTTCAGTCTCGGCCTGATGGGCCTCTCCAAGCTGCTGTAATCGAGCCTCCAGCCCCTTGCGCCCAGTTTTTTTTTCTTCCAGCTCCTTTTGTTCCTGCTTATGCTGCTCCACCAGGCTTCGGTTTTTTTTTTTCAGCTCAGAGATACAACGCTGCTGCTCTTCCAGGGCATCTGCAGCTTTTTTTTTCTCCTCTTCAAGGCTGCCCTTGGTGACCTTCAAGGACTCTTTGAGGGTTTTTTTTTGCTCCTGGAGCTGGTCCTTCTCCTGGGCCACCCTTTCTTTCTCAGTTTTTTTTTTTTGCTCAGACTGCAGCTGGAACTCTAGCTCTGCTACCTGGGCCTGGGCTTTTTTTTTTTCCCGGCAGGCTGTCTCAACACGGGCGCGGAGTTCCTCCACCTTCTGGCTCAGCTCTGCCTTCTCCCGCTGGGCCTGTGTCACTGAGGTCTGAGCACTGTCCTTTTTTTTTTTAGCCACCTGAAGTTGCTGCTGCAGAATCTCCAGCTTCGCAGCCTTTTTTTTTTTCAGTGCCTCCAGCTGCTGGAGAGCCGCATCCCGCTCTCTTAAGGAGGTTTTTTTTTCCTCTGCAGCAGTGGCCAGTTGCTGGGCGTGGTCCCGCCTAGTTACCTCCTGCTTCTCTGCTACCTCCTTCAACTGCTGCTCCTTCTGCTTCAGGCTACTGCTCAGCTGCTCCACCTGGTGGCGGAGGCCCTGGGAGGCCTGTTCTTGCTGTTGGAGGGTCTGTGCTAGCTGGGCCTGCTCCTCTTTGGCCTGCTGCTTCAGGTCAGCCAGTTCTTTTTTTTTTTGCTGGATGGTGGCATTGAGTGTGGTGAGCTCAGAGGTCAGAGAGGCTTTTTTTTTAGTCAACCGGGCCCCATGAGCCTGGGAGGCCTGCTCCAGCTCTTCCTTTTTTTTTTTGAGGTTGGAGATGGAGCTCTGCAGGTTGGCGATCAGGCTAGATAGCTTTTTTTTTTCTTCTTCAAAGTGGTCCCGCTCAGCAAGCAGCTTGGCTTCCTGCTGGCCTTGCTCAGTCTCCAGCGTCTCCACCCTGGCTTGGAGCTGTGTGTTGTTTGCAGTTTTTTTTTCTGCCTCTTGTTTCAGGGTTTCCAGCTGGTGGTATAAAGAGATAAACTTTTTTTTTCATGACTCCTCAGTCACCAAGCCTCCTCTGGAAATGGCAGAACACCATTTTTTTTTAGGTACTGAATGTGAGTCCACACCAACTCCCAGCACACAGGTCGTCCTTTTTTTTTCTACCTGCAAGACATCACCTAGCACCTCGCCCTTCTCCTGGGGTGGGTTCTCCCGCAGCAGGGCCAAGTGTTCTTCCAACTGTGAAAGTTTTCCCTGAAGGATTTTTTTTTTCTCTTCAAGGCATTTCTGGGAGTAAATGAGACCCATGTGAACAGAGATTTTTTTTTGGCACCAGATTACCACACAAGCCCTCATAAACATCAACAAACATGGGTTTTTTTTTCTTGTTACCAAGATATTCCTTTGCCATGACCTAGAAAAAAGCAGAAATTTTTTTTTTGGGAGCATGAGGGACCTGACTCTCTAGACCTAGTTCTAAGGCAGAATTTTTTTTTAATGTGACCTTCTTACTACTTCCCCAAGGCTGCTGAGTTTACTTCAATTTTTTTTTCTGTATACCCTTCCTCAGATAAGTCTTGAGTCCTAGATTATCCAAATTTTTTTTTTCTGCCCACCATCCTCTGGGCAGCACTGGCAGCAGCTGCAACATCCCCCAGTCCCAAACCCACTTCTTCACCACTGTTCACTAAGTACCTGTAAGAGGCTGTGCTTTTTTTTTCCCTATTTTTTTTTTTTTTGAGACGTAGTCTTGCTCTGTCGCCTACGTTTTTTTTTAGTGGCGAGATCTTGGCTTACTGCAACCTTCGCCTCCCAGGTTCAAGTTTTTTTTTTGTCTCAACATCCCGAGTAGCTGGGACTACAGGCATGCATCACTACATTTTTTTTTTTTTTCTTTTTGTATTTTTAGTAGAGACAGGGTTTCACCATGCTGGCTTTTTTTTTCTCGAACTCCTGACATCAGGTGATCCACCTGCCTTGGCCTCCCAAAGTACCGGGATTACAGGTGTGAGCCACCGTGCCCGGCCTGGGTGCATTCCTGAATTTCTTTTTTTTTTACAAATGTGAGAGGCAGCTATTACTATTTCTCTTACAGAGCAAGAATTTTTTTTTGATGCTAAGTGCCAAGATCAAGGGCTACATGGTTATTACTAAGTGGCTTTTTTTTTTTCTTACCAATAGCAACCATAACAACTGGTTCACTGAGAGCTTACTTTTTTTTTTTTGATGTGTGAAGTGCTTTACATACATTTTCTCATAATAGGTGGTAAGTTTTTTTTTCGTTATTACTCCCATTTTAGGGAAAGAATGCTTAGAAAAACAGACTGTTTTTTTTTTCCAGGATCCACATCTTATAAACACCAGAGATAGGATTGAAAGGTATACTATAAAGTGAGGGCACTGACTGGGGAAAAAAATAAAAATAAAGTAAAAAAAAAGTTTTTTTTTCTAGACTGAAACCCACAATCTTTCAACCTTTCAATTACAGCACACTATTTTTTTTTGAAGAGAAAGCAGCTTAATACCCAAAGGCCCAGAAGAGCACAGTGGTAAACTGGATTCAGCTTTGCATATGTGGTCAAGACTGTGGCTGTGACCCCAGCAGAGTTTTTTTTTATCCTGCAGGGCTGTGCTGAGATCCTTCTCCAGCTGGGCCTGCTTCTCCAGCCACTCCTGAGTGGCCCTGCTGTGCTCCTCTGTCAGCTCATTGAGGGCATCCTGTAGCTGCTGCAGGTGACTGGCAAACTCCCGCAGCTGAGATGGGCAAGTGAGAATCCCCATCACCCAGGGTCAACGCTGACCCTACCACTGCTGTCTGCTCCCTGAACCCCAGGGGCTGGATGCCTCCAATTATCCTGCCAACCCTCCACAAACCAATCACAGCCATCACACCTCTAATTCAGGACCACAAATCAAACTTTAGGGTCACAACCCAGTACCCGGTTTTTTTTTAATTATGGGACAAGGAAAGGGGCAAAATATGCAGGTCTCTGGAGAGACTGTAGCGTAAGACAGGTGCTGGGACATTCTTCTCAACCCTCTCTTGGGGAGCCTTCCAGACTGCCTCAGCCCTGAGGGGCCTCCATGCACACACCACCTTAACACTCACCTTTTTTTTTTGGTCTCCATTCTCCTCCAAAAGCTGGCTGATCTTGCGATCCATCTGGCTCTTCTCTGTCTTCAGGTCCTGGCACTGCTTCAGGGTTTCATGCAGCCGCATGGTAAGGCTGCGAGGGAGGGAAGCAGCGAGAAGAGAGTATGGATGGGCCCCTGGCTGGGTTTTTTTTTGGGCGGGAGCCTGGGAAGGAATGCAGGGAGAGTTGTACCTCTCATTCTTTTTTTTTAGCTCCTCAAGCTCCCTGGGCTCCAGTGGGCTGGCTGCCTGCTTCTCATTCAGCAGGGCTAGGCGGTCAATGCGCTGCTGCATCATGGCTATCTGTGCATCTGTTTTTTTTTGAGGGAGGAGGAGAGGAGAATCAGCACAGAACTATGTGCAGGAGGGGTTTTTTTTTGGTGGCATAGGGAGGAGGAGGCATACAGAGGAGGAGGAATATGGTATTTTTTTTTTGGGAAAGAGAAGATGGGGACAAAGACAGAACCCAACTTCCAGGAGGTTTTTTTTTTCACAGGCCCAGGGCTGAGCTCTAAGTTCCAGGGTCCAGCAGAGGGGACAACATGCGAGGCCAAGGGGACATCCTTCTGGCAAGTCTATTCACACATCTGCCAGTTTTTTTTTCACCTACCCTTCTCGGTGAGGAGCTTGCGGTTCTCAGCCAGCTCCAGTTTTTTTTTATCCCTATTACTTCTCTCATCGGCAAGCTGCTTCTTCAGCCGTCTCATCTGGAACTGTGGGGTCTGCAGGATATCGCCCATGGGAGAAGCTGGAGAACCTGAGAGAAAGCTGAGGAGGGAAAAGGCCCAGTTGCATTGGTAAGAGCCTAAGATCTGAAGTTTTTTTTTACAGGCAGCAGGAAGGGAGTGGGGTCTGTGGAAGTGTCCACTAGCAGTTTTTTTTTCTGTGCACCTGGGTTCTATTTGCAGTGCTACCTCAAGCCTCATGACATTTTTTTTTGAAAATTTTTCTTCTCACTGCCTTAATTTCTTTGTCAGAAAAAAAAATTTTTTTTTTTATCCTTGGCTCTGCAGAGATGTGCTAAGAGAAGGGACTTCATTGTTTTTTTTTTGGAAGAAGGGTATTCCATAAACAGGGAACAGCTTTTGAGGGAGACCTTCTGCGCATGACAAATCCCAACCAATTCCCCCCATTAATACTGGGGAGGTGAGGAGTTTTTTTTTCTACAGGATTCTCCAAGCACTCCTAGAGGCTGGTCAACAGCTTAACTTTTTTTTTTAGGAATGTGAGGAATAGATGGATGCTGAGGCCCTATCCCAGGAGGAATTTTTTTTTACATACTTGTTCCCACTGGAAGAGGAGGCAACCTTCTGTAGCTCTAGTTTTTTTTTCTCCCTCTTGGCCTGGTGGCTAGGTGGGGAGAGCTCTTCAGGGAATGTGCTAGAACAGGTAGAAGGGACAGGAGCTGGGGGTAAGAAATAGACAAAATAAATCTTTTTTTTTTAGTAAGAAGGTGAAAAGATTTGCATCTTTATGCAATCTGAGAACTTTTTTTTTTTGGGAGTGAATCTGTGGATACTTATATGTAAACTACCAAGGAAGGCACTTTTTTTTTCCTGGTGTCTCTAACCAAAATAAAGTGCAGGGCTTCCATTTCTACAGAGCATCACTACTCAGAGCACAGTGGAGTGAGGGTGTTCTCTGGCTCAGAAACTGCACCAAGTGCTCAGCTTTTTCCTCAAGTCCATACTGCAGAGACGGCTTGGGGAGCCCTGAGCAGGATCTCCTCGCAGCCCCCAACAACCTTTCCTATCAGAGCCACTGACTGCCATTTGGAATTCTTCCCCCCAAAGTCTTGTACCTCCAAAATGCCCTCCTCCTCAAAACCCTTCTCTTTCCTTGGTTTCTGTGACCACTTTTGTAGGACTTTCCTACCTCTAATTTTTTTTTTTTAGTCTCCTCATCTGCTCCTCCCTCCTCTACCCACCCTCTAAGCTCCCAGAGATCTGATGGGGCCTCCTGGCTCTGCCCATAGTGCCCACGGATTCAGTGGCTTTTTTTTTCTGACTTGCAAACCTATCTTCTGGTCCAGAGCCAGCTCCTGAATTCTGGACTCACATTTCCAACATCTCCACCTGAAGGTCTCATGAGGAACCTGAATACAAGTTTTTTTTTACTCAATGGCTAGAACTCGCCTAGACCTCCTTCTTACATTCCTATCATTTTTTTTTTGACCTCTTCATCAGAAGACCAGCAGAACGATCACTCTTTCTACTGTTTTTTTTTTCGAGACCACTGATATATTCCATACTTAGATTCCTTATCATATTTCCTTTTTTTTTTATCTGCCTTTCCACCTAGAACATGTGCTACATGATGGGAAAAACATTTTTTTTTTTACTGTGGGCTGGGCGCAGTGGCTCATGCCTATAATCCTAACACTTTGTTTTTTTTTGGCAGGTAGATCACCTGATGTCAGGAGTTTGAGACCAGCCTAATCAACATGGTTTAACGCCATCTCTACAAAAAATACAAAAATTAGCCAGGTGTGGTGGCATGCACCTGTAATTCCAGCTACTTAGGAGGCTGAAGCAGGAGAACTGCTTGAACTTGGGAAGCAGAGGTTGCAGTGAGCTGAGATCACACCACTGCACTCCAGCCTGGGTGACATTTTTTTTTTCCATCTCAAAAAAAAAAAAAAAAGACTGCACATTATCAGCTTCTAAGCCTAGAGTAATGATTGTTTAAAAAATAAAAAACAAAAGGAGGTATGATCACTTGTTTTTTTTTTACATCACTGCTGCCAGGCAGCAAGGAGGAGCTCCATAGGAACTGAGATTTTTTTTTACCCAGAAATCGACCTACTCCATTACACACACTTTTCCTGACCACCATTTTTTTTTTGTGTTGCGGACAGAAACAAAAACCCCCACCGCACTTCTTGACAACTCAGGATCCTAGTATTCCCCATTTCAGAGATGAGGGGATTCTCAGGAGTATGTACCTTTTTTTTTTTCCGTAGGAAGTTCTCTAGGTCCTCATTAAGGTTTAGCCCATCCTCATTTTTTTTTACAAATTTAAGAATGACAGCCAACTCAGCCTGGGCCACAGAGAGAAATTTTTTTTTACTGAGGTGTTAGGCCTCTGAAAGGATGGCTGCCAGGAGCTCCACCCTGGCAGTGCCAGTCCCTGGCTCCCTCGTGCCCTAGAAGCCTGCTGGATCCCATTCTTTTTTTTTTAGCTGAGGTCCTATGACCCAGCCAACAACATTCAACTAGAGATATGTTTTTTTTTTTTGCTCCCTTCCCTCCCACCTCCCCTCAAGATGTACCCAAGTCAGAGTTCCTGACTGACTTCACTCCTGACCACAAGCGAAGTGACTGTTAAGGAAAGTAACATTTTTTTTTAGTTGCTTTTATTGTTATTGTTGTTAAGGAACAAGGTCTTGCTATGTTTTTTTTTTTGGAACACAGCAGCACAATCATAGCTCACTATAACCTCCAACTCCTGGAGTCAACTCCTCCTCCTCAGCTTCCCAAGTAGCTAGAACTACAGACACACACTGCCACACCCAATTCATTTTTTTTTTTTTTTTTTTTGAGACGGAGTCTCGTTCTGTCACCCAGGCTGGAGTGCAGTGGCCAGATCTCAGCTCACTGCAAGCTCCGCCTCCCGGGTTTTTTTTTTTCTCCTGCCTCAGCCTCCCGAGTAGCTGGGACTACAGGCGCCCGCCAGCTCGCCCAGCTAGTTTTACGTATTTTTAGTAGAGACGGGGTTTCACCGTGTTAGCCACCAGGATGGTCTCGATCTCCTGACCTCGTGATCCGCCCACCTCGGCCTCCCAAAGTGCTGGGATTACAGGCTTGAGCCACCATGCCTGGCCAGTTCATTTTTTTAAAAATTTTTTTTTTGTTGAGACAGGGTTTCGCTATGTTACCCAGGCTGATCTTGAACTCCTTTTTTTTTTCAATCCTCCTGTCTCAGCCTCCCAAAGTGCTGGGATTATAGGTGTGCGCCACCACACCCGGCCAGGAAGCTTTTATATATAACTATGTTGGCCTCTTCCAGATTTTTTTTTTAGAGGAAAGGATGAGATAAATGAAGTGCAAGTTCTGTGGAAACACACTTTTTTTTTCACACACACATACGCAGAAACACATATAGGAACAGAGAATAATTTCTTTTTTTTTTCCTAAAACATATATTATAGTTAAATATATGCACATAAAAAAGGACTTTTTTTTTTTTCCTTTAAAATGTTAGCAACCTCTGGGAATGAGTTTATCGGCAACTGTTTTTTTTTTCTGCATGCTTTTCAACATTTCCCAGATTTTCTATGATGAATGGCAGTTTTTTTTTTAACTGTATTTTTAAAAAGACCAGTATCTGCTGTTCAAAGAAAAACATTTTTTTTTAGGTGAAGCACGGGCTAGGCCCGCTAGGTGGCATGGAGGCACAAGGGTTTTTTTTTATTTTATATTCAAACTGTTCCCAGTCCCTGGGACTTTTGGAGCTCATGGTAGAGTGGTATAAGAGCAGCATGGTCATCTAGAAGCCAAACAGGAGGCAGTCACTTTTTTTTTCTGTCTCTTGTCTCAGTGGCCCCATTCTGGGCAGTTCTGGGGACTCTGAGCTATTCTGGCGATTCTTCTGAAAGTCCTAGAATTCAGCAACCCCAGGCCACCATCCTTAATAGCTCCAGGAAACATTTTGGGTTTTTTTTTCAATTGAGGACACAGTGTTTTTTTTTTAAAAAGCTGAGCACCAAGATTCCTGCATGGCTTAATTCCTGGACTCATGGAACCCTGGGTGTGAAGCTTTAGGTACCCTCTATAGGTCAGCACCCAGAAAGAATTTTTTTTTTGACGCAGACTGAGCTATAATAAAAATATGGTGATAGTCGAGTGAGACCTGATTTCTGCCAGGTCTTCACCAAGGTCGGCAGTAATGGTCTAGTAAACTATTGTTTTTTTTTTAATCTCTGTCATAAGATCATGGGCTCCTAGAATCCTTGGGCTAAATTTTTTTTTTACTCAGACAGGTGGCTGCCTGGTTCTACCTCCAATGTACTAGAGCCCCAGAAATAAAGCACCCATCATCTCCCCTTGGGTTAAGAGAAGGCCCTGCAGGGTCCTTTTTTTTTCATTACTCCAACCCTGCTCCGCCTCCCCAGTCGGGTATTCCATAAGTTTTTTTTTTAGTTCCAGCTCTGATCCCTCTAGCACCTTCTGTGCAGACACCAGGCATTTTTTTTTAGAGGGATGTTTTTGATTTTCTGCAATGACAACAATGTAGAAAACAGGGTGAACTTCCTGGGAACCATACCTGAAATCCCAGAACACTTAAATCTGGGGAGCATTTTTTTTTTCTCTGGTGGAGCTATGAGATGTAGGGCTCCTTACTCCTATGCCCTCTTTTTTTTTCCTTACAATTTTCCATCTGAAGTCAGTTCTATCCTGGGTCAATCCAATTTTTTTTTGGATAATGGAAGAAGAAAGCAGCCTGGGAATTCACAGCAGCTCTGGGTCATGACATTGCACTCTCCCACCCACTCACCAACTCTCTCTCAGCACCACAGAGGAAGAGCCCAGAGATGCCAGGTCACTTAGAATCCTGTTCCAACTGAGATCACAGAGGATTTTTTTTTCTGGGTCAGAGGAGGACACCTGGGGATACCTGACTCTCATGCTGCCCTTTTTTTTTGGGGCTCAATTATTAACACCTTGCTTTATCTAAATATAGCCTCACTTTTCCTATAATTCTCTAGGAGTGGAGATGGCAGCTAGCTCCCCATGTCAAAGACGAGGACTGTGTGGTCTAAGGCTAGACAAGGGGAGGGGAGCTGAAAAGCACTGTACTAGAAGCTTTGCATATGTTCTTATTTAATCCACCCATCCACTTGAAGAGCAGTTATCATCTTTTTTTTTTACATAGGGAACCTACGTCCAGAAAGGTCACACAAGCAGTGAGGGAGTTTTTTTTTAACCTTAATCTGCCTCTGCCCCTACACCTATCGCCTAAGCAACGAATTCAAAGTTATCTGGGAAAAATAGTTTTTCTTGCAAGGGAAAGACTCTCGCTTCTATTTTTTTTTTGTTGGGGGGAACAGAAACTTAAGGTGCTCAAAGAGTTCAAGGTGATAGGTCCCAAAAAGTAACCTTCTGGCTACACCTAGATCTCTGAGAAGGGCTCTGGGACTGAAGGGACACTCTTCTTACACCAACTGATGGAGGCATCACAAGACCCAGGGGATCTTTTTTTTTTGTTTTCATCTTTGTGTTAAAGAGTGGGGAGTCTTGAAATTTTTCTCTTTTTTTTTCTCATGAACTAGTTCCTCTGGACTCTCCAATCCCACGAGCTGAGGAATTTTTTTTTTCATAGCTGGATAAGAAAGGTGCTTACTCTGCAAAAAACTGCAAACATTTTTTTTTCTCTCTGGCACCGGCTGCTGCAAGATTTGCTGTCCCTCTTCAGTGCCTTTTTTTTTAAAAGAGCAAGTATTAGGACCAGAGTATTCAGCAATCTTTGCCTCTTTTTTTTTTTATTTCATACTACCTCCCCATTCCTTCCAGTCTTGATCTCTGCTGGATTTTTTTTTTATCCAGATTAGATTGGGAGACAGGTGACAGATACCAGGACACCATTTTTTTTTTTTGAACTGTCTGGTGGGTGGGAAGTGGGGACTTGAGGCATGGGGTTCTTTTTTTTTTTATGGCATTCTATCATCCTCTTTGCAAATATAAAAAAGCTCTGTGGAATTTTTTTTTGAGGAGATGGAGGCAGCCCAGATGAATGGGAAGCTAGATTACACCATTTTTTTTTTCTCAACTCTAAGCTGTCAGGAAGCCTGGAGAACACACCTAGGGTAAGAGTGAGAGAAGACCATGGGGAAGGAAAAACACATCCAAGAACTGAAAGAACAGGAGTTTTTTTTTCTCTGAAGTGACAGGGTGAAGTTCCCCCACTAGGCTGAAGGCTGAGATTTTTTTTTGCCTCCCAGAGGAGGATCCCAGGGACTAGTTTTTTGTTTGTTTTTTTGAGACAGAATCTCACTCTGTCGCCCATGCTGGAATGCAGTGGCACGATCTCGGCTCACTGTAACCTCTGTCTCCTGGGTTTAAGCAATCCTCCTGCCTCAGCCTCCCAAGTAGCTGGAATTACAGGCATGGACCACCACACCTGGCTAATTTTTTTATTTTTTAGTAGAGATGGGGTTTCGCCATGTTGGCCAGGCTGGTCTCAAACTCCTGACCTCCACCCACTTTTTTTTTTCAAAGTGCTGGGATTACAGGCTGGAGCCACCATGCCCAGCCAGGACTTTTTTTTTCGATTAGTGGTTCTTGTCTCTACTTGCTTTACTGGAAGAGCAGGCAGTGTGAAGAGAGCCATGAGGAGAGGGAGACAGCAGGGGGAGCTCTCACACAGTCCAGTTTTTTTTTGCAGAATTGCTTCAACCCGAGACAGAGATTACAGTCAGCAGAGATGGTTTTTTTTTACTCCAGCCTGGGAGACAGAGGGAGATTCTGTCTCAAAAAAAAAAAATTTTTTTTTAAACTGGGATCCTCCTCTGGGAGGCTTTTGCCATCTCAGCCTTCAGCTTTTTTTTTGAACTTTGCTGGATCCCCTAGCTAACTGCAGTTCCATTTTCAGAAGCTTTTTTTTTAATACTACTTCAGTTAGAAAGCTGAATTCTCTAGGCTACAGTGGGAGATCCTGATTAGTGGGCCCCTTATTTCTCAGAATCTAAACCCCTAGTTCTCAGCCAACTTTCTGGAGGGCAGGGCAGGTCCAGAAACTTCCAATGCCAGAGACATCATGAAAGCACAAGCGTCATCCAAGCCAAGACTATGAGTGTACCTCCCCCTCTACCCCATGTGATTTTTTTTTCTTCTTCCAAGTGAATCCCCCACTAGAGGCACTCTGTCTGGATAGTTTTTTTTTTTTCAGAGACTCCTACAAAGTCTTAAGGAGATGCTAATCTCTTACAGACTCCCAAATGAGCCATTTCCCCTACCCACCCACAATCTGGAATGTTGTGACTCCTTGGCTCAGTGTGGAGCAATATTTACCTCAGAGTATTCCATTAACTAAAAATAAAAAGATTTTTTTTTGTGAAATGTTTGAGAAATGCTTCGTTAAACTAAACTGAACATTTTTATTTTTTTTTCAACATGCATTATTTCCTAAACCTATTTGATCACAAAACCCTTCCCCTTTTTTTTTACGAAGCCTGGTGTAAGTAAAGCTGCATGGAGCATGCTTTGGACAACAGTAGTCCTAGAGAAATCCAGCCCATCCTTTAAGACAGTGCTGAAGTCTCATCTCTTTTTTTTTTCCATCCACAACTCCTGCCAGTCATGCCTCCGCTGTCCTCCAGGTCTTCCTGCAGCACTCATGAATGCAACTGCACCATTTACAACTGCCCACTCCAACTGCACTTTTTTTTTAAAGCGAGGAATAAAGTAGGTGCTCAATACATATGGGCTGACTGACAACTGAGGGATGCTTTTTACTGAGAAGAGCAGAAATAAATGTCAGCAAGATAAACATTTTTTTTTTAAGTTTTCTGGCAAAATGCCTCCACTATACTTTGTTGTTCAAGCCTCACAGCTATCAAAGAGATGGGACAGCCTTTTTTGCTTTAGGCTATTCACGCACAGAATTTTTTTTTGGGAAACTTGTCAGAGGGGTTGATCCCAGTTAATTTTCCCATAGAGATTTTTTTTTGGCCAAGCAATTAAACCCTCCTCAAGTCCCACAGCTTCTTTTTTTTTTTTTTTTTTATTATTTTTCTCAGGGCGCCCCTTGTCCAGTGTGCAGACAGGAGTCATCCAACTCTCACAGCTTCTATCTACCCTCCAACCTTGCCATCCTCTGCTGCCTTCTGCTGAGAACTAGGCTGCTGATTTAGGTTGGCACTAGTAGTAGTACCAGAAATGTAATTTTTTTTTCATATTAACCAAGAACCTCCATTTCCCAAAAGGAAGCTGGTCTGCAATTTTTTTTTTCTGAGATGGAGATGAGCGTTAACCTGGGATTTTAATATCGCCTACCTTTTTTTTTCCCTTCTACTGCAGCCTAGGTTCAGGCAACACCCTAGAAGACAACTTGAAAATGAGCATCTTGAATTTTTGATGCTTCCTATGAAAATTTCCTACCAGGTTATTTTTTTTTTGTGGCTAACCCAAGGACAACACACATCCTTACTCTTGGGCACATCTATTTTTTTTTTCACCAGGCCAAGGAAATTTCTCTCTTCAAAAGCAAAAGTTCCTTGATCTATTCTGAGGTCATAAAAGCATGCTGCCCCATATTTTGTGTTACAATACAAGGCTTTTTTTTTCTGGCTGCTTCACTTTTAGTGAGGTTAAAATTAAACACAGAGTTAGGTATTGCCAGCCTAATGGTTTTACCAGCCATTAATGGTAGGTGCCTGGATCTATCACTTTTTTTTTGTTTGCAAAATAATTATTTTCAATAGAAGTTCCAAAATGCTGACTTACAGGTGGTACACAACCCCAACTATGAAGTGTCTTTGCCAAAAAAAAAAAAAAGTGATTTTTTTTTAGATCTAATTTTCAGTACATAGGCAGCAAGGGGAACAGTGGAACAAGTTTTTTTTTACCATAATAATGCAATTAACAGAATCCAGGATTTAAGAATTTCTATAAGATTAAAAAAAAAATGAGGTGGTGTTGAGTGGGGAGAAAAAAAAGCAGGACACAAAACTGGTGAGAGGAAATGACCCCCTGATGAAAGATCTTAAACACCAGGCTGAAAATTTTTTTTTTCTACCTATTAAAAATGAATACTCACTGAGGTTTGATGAAGAGTCACTGAAGTGTCACAAAGAAAACAAGATTTGAGAAAGATTATTGAGAACTCATGTATAGGTTTTTTTTTCAATAAGGGCAGATTAGAGAAGAACTAGGCTAGAAGAACTAGAATGAGGCAGAGGGAGGGACATTGGTTGTGAGCAGAGAGGACGATGACCAATTAGAGATCATTTTTTTTTAGAGAGAGAAGTCAAGATGATGTTGAAATGTCCTGCCTGGGTAACTGGAAGAGAAAATGGTAGTGTCTGGACCCAAATAAGAACAGTGACTTCTTTTAGAGGTACTAAGGCAGGTCCTGGTTAGAGCATATGGAATTTTAAAAAAATCCTATAAGACAATTTTTTTTTAACACACATTTCAAATAAAAAACCACTTTAGCAGACCCATCTGTCCTGGGCTACTCAGCCCCACTAGACCTTGCTGATGGAGAATACCAACTCATCTCTTTACTTTTTTTTTATTAACTAAAACCTAATCAATGTAGTGTAGGGAAGACCCCAAGATGAATCAGACACAGTTCTGGCCTTTGTTTAGCTTAACTCTACCTTCTTTCCCTATCAATTTTTTTTTTCCTATGAATGGGTAAAGTGCTTGCTTCACAGAGATGTGAGTCCCTAATACCAGTTCCTAACTGCCATGTATGGCACATAAACACCTTCAACACTTCAGTTTATCCTTGGCCTGGGGTAAACAATCTAATGTGCTTTCTTAAAAAAAAAAAAAGACAACGTTTTTTTTTTGCTCGGTCCCAAAAAGGTAGGATACTGGAAGGAAGCCCCACTCTATTTTTTTTTTAGATAACTGTGATGTTCAAAGGAAATGTGCTAAAGACACAGACCAAATTTTTTTTTTACAATCCTTGCTGCATGGTAACAACAAGCTTTTTAAATGCTCTTGGTTTTTTTTTAACAAGTTAATTGAGGCAGTAAAAACCCCAGAAGAGTATTTATTTTATTTTTTTTTAGAAGTGCTAACAAGTTACAGATGAGATTTCTAGGTGTTTCTTCTTTTTTTTTTTTGTGAGAGCTTTCCCTTTCTTCCCTCAGAAGGTTGCAAAGAGGGCTTGTGGCATAGGGTAGGGATGAGTCAAGAAAAGAGGGTTGTAGAAGGCTTCTGGTGGGACAAGAGAATGGGGAGCCCAAGAGTGAGCACTTGTAAGAATGTGAGGGCATGGAGCCTTGGAGGCTCTCCTGTGCAAGAGTGCAGAAGCCTCAGGATGGGACAAGCGCGAAACTTTTTTTTTGGAGTGGCACAGCGACTGGAAGATGAAGTCAATGTATTCTTGCCTTTAGGCCCCACCCTGGCTTATGATGTCCCAATCCTGCCCCTGATTTCTGGTCATAGCCATCACCAAGTAAAGAGAACAAATACAGCCCCCACCCCAGCAATCAGCTTTGCCTTATTTTTTTTTGAGATGTATGGTGTGTACTCACAGTCTGTCAATGATCTTGATGAAGATGCTGCAGTCCTGGAGCTGCAGCACAGCCTCCACAGGGTCAGCCACATGTAGACTGTTCACCTGTGAATCAAGGGGAACAGCCTAGTGAGACGTTACAAACGTCAGAAGCAATTTTTTTTTCTCCTTTTCCCAGAGGCTCAATGTGAGTGCTTACAGTTGTAGGCTATTTTTTTTTTAGAACTGATGATTCTCAGGTTTTTAATTTCAGGAAGGAGTGCTGCTGTTTTTTTTTATCCAGTTACAGCCACCTGAAATGCAACCATCAGAGAGTCCTTCCTTTGGCTTCAACTAAATAAAAGCTTAAACTCTCCTAAGATGTTCCAGCACTGGGAGTATTTTTTTTTGCATAAAATGCTTTTGGAAGGATACACCAATAAATTGGTACTAACATTGCTTCTAAAGAGAGGAATTTGACAGCAAGGAGTCTGAGGTGGGAAAAGAAAGGCTTTTTTTTTTATAACTCTCTGTAGCTCTTGAATGTACTATAGCCCTTTGTATTTCTTTTTTTTTTTCATTATAAGTTTCTATATCTCTTGGATTTTTATATTATAGCCCTTTGTAGCTCTTGAGTTTTCAAATATCTATTCAAAACATAAATATTACATATATGCTATATTTTTTTTTAAAGATATAAAATCTTATTAACGCATTTTTCTTCTTTCCACACATAATTTTTTTTTTGAGGGGAGAAGGGAAAAACAATAGGGGAACAAGATGATTTTTTAAAAAGTGGGTGGAGGGATCCAGGCGTGGTGGCTCACACCTGCAATCCTAGCACTTCGGGAGGCTGAGGCAGGAAGATCACTTGAGCTCAGGAGTTCAAGACGGGCCTGGGCAACATGGTGAAACCCTGTCCTACAAAAAATACAAAAAATTAGCCAGGTGTGGTGGCACACACCTGCAGTCCCAGCTACAGAAGGCTGAGGTGGGAGGATCACCTTAGCCCAGGGAGGTCGAGGCTGCAGTGAGCTGAGATTGCATCACTGTACTCTAGCCTGGGTGACAGATTTTTTTTTTGTCTCCAAAGGAAAAAAGAAAGAAAAGGAAAGGAAAAAAAACGGGGTTTTTTTTTAAGAAGATGACGAGCTGGGCTGGGAATCTCAAAGAAAAACTTCTTATTTTTTTTTTGTTGCCTGTTCCCATTCTTTGGCTTCAGATAGGCATACATCTAAATCAGTTTTTACCACTAGAAAATTCACCAGGGGTCACATGCATCAGGTACACAGGTTATTCAATAAGTATACATGTCGACTTCTACAGGAAAACCTCATGAATTCCATAGGCAGTAAAGTTCAGAAGTAATCTGGGCTGAAGTTTACTTTTTTATTACTATAAGAAGAAATTTTTTTTTTAGTTAATTATTCACATATTCAGCACTAAGAGGGGAGAGAGACTGAGCTTTTTTTTTGAAACAAGGTATTTTAAAGAACTTCAGCATAGTGGTTATGTGCAGACTTTTTTTTTCTATTGCTTATAAATGTACTCTCTATATTTGGGCTGGGAGCCAGTACTTTTTTTTTTTGGGCCCAGCTCCTCCAGAAACTTGCCAGCAACCTTTGTTATAAACTTTTTTTTTCTCTGCACTAGTTTTCTCTCGTGCCAAATGGATGGAACCCCTACCTTATCTACTTCAAAAGACCAGTGTGAGCTCAAATGGATTATGGATGCAAGAACACATTTTTTTTTTTAAAAGTAGGACAGGCGCAGTGGCTCACACCTGTAATCCCAGCACTTTGGGAGGCTGAGGTAGGGGGACTGCTTGAGGCTGGGAGTTTAGGATCACCTTGGGCAACATAACAGTACCTTGTCTCTACCAAATAAATAAATAAGCAAGCAAGCAAGCAAGCTGGACATGGTGCCTATAAGTCCTAGCTACATAAGAGGCTGAGGTGGGTGGATCATTTGAGCCCAGGAGCTGGAGAAGTTACAATGAGCTATGATAGTGTCCCTGCACTGTGGCCTGGGAAACAGAGTGAGACATCTCAAAAAAAAAAAAAAAAAAAAAGAAAGAAAGAAAGAGTAATAAACATAAGGCACTATTATGGCTAATAAAATTAAAATAATGAAGTAGATATAACATTTGTATTTCTTAACAGTTAAGTTAGCTGCATGCACTATAGAATTAAGAGGATTTTTAAAAATCAATGATTCCTCTACAGACATGATAGTATTTATTTCAGTTAAATACTTTCACATTTAGAAACAACTTTTAAGGTCAGGTGCAGTGGCCCATGCTTGTAATCCCAGCACTTGGGGAGGCTGAGGCAGAAGGACTGCTTGAGGCCAGGAGTTCAAGACCAGCCTGGGCAACATAAGGAGACCCTGTCTCTACAAAATAATAATTTAAAAAAAATTATTAGCTGGGTGAGGTGGCTTGCGCCTGTATGCTACTGTAGTCCCTGCTACTTGGGAAGCTGATGTGGGAAGATCGCTTGAGCCCAGGAGGTCAAGGCTACAGTGAGCTATTATCACACCACTGCACTCTAGCCTGGGCAACTAGAGTGATTGAGACCCTGTCTCAAAAAAAAAAAAATAAATAAAAAATTTAAAAAAAAAAAATAAATAAATAAAACTTTTAGGCCAGGTGTGGTGGCTCATGCCTGTAATCCCAGTGCTTTGGGACGATGAGGAGGGAGGATCGATTGAGGCCAGAAGTTTGAGATCAGCCTAGGCCACACAGCAAGACCCTGTCACCAAAAAATTAAAACAACAACAACAAAAAACAGCCCAGCATGGTGGTGCATGTTTGTGATGTCTATGGTCCTAGCTGCTCAGGAGGCTAAGGTGGGAGGCAGAGGATTGAGGGCAGGAGTTCCAGGCTGCCATGAATGCAACTGCATTCCAGCCTGGGTCACAGAGCAAGACCCTATCTCAAAAAGGGGAATCTTTTAGATGAATCCAAATTAAAACAGATTAAAAGTTTTTTAATGTGAAATAAAATGTGACTTATTGACATCTTAAAGAGTTTGCTAATATATTTATAAAATATTTATGCTGTCTTTCGAAAAAAGCTCAATCTAATTGGTCAGTACAGGTCATTATAAGTTTTCCAAGAAGATTCTGAAAACTTCAGGCCAAGATTCCATTTTACCTGCAGAAAATGGAGAGACTGCCAAGGCAAAACCATCTCCTATCAATACCTGCAATCTAGGTAAAACATTCAAGGGCTATGGATGCTTGTTCACTAACAAGACTAAAAAATCATACCAGGCCGGGCGCGGTGGCTCAAGCCTGTAATCCCAGCACTTTGGGAGGCCAAGACGGGCGGATCACGAGGTCAGGAGATCCAGACCATCCTGGCTAACACGGTGAAACCCCGTCTCTACTAAAAATTACAAAAAACTAGCCAGGCGAGGTGGCGGGCGCCTATAGTCCCAGCTACTCGGGAGGCTGAGGCAGGAGAATGGCGTGAACCTGGGAGGTGGAGCTTGCAGTGAGCTGAGATCCGGCCACTACACTCCAGCCTGGGTGACAGAGCGAGACTCCGTCTCCAAAAAAAAAAAAAAAAAAAAAAAAATCATACCAATTAGCTGATGTAAAGTCTCCTAAGGAATCTGGATTCATCACATATACCAATTGGGTAATAATCCAGCCACAGTTCCTTTCATGGATATAAAAAGACTTTTCTTCCTGTGAATTATTTTGCTCTCAAGTGAGAAATCATTTAAAAGTTAACAAAGTAGAGAAGTTCCTTCATCTCTAGTCAGGACATAAAACATGAGAGTGAGGACCAGGCTCACCATGTAACTTAAGAGTTGCCCTTTAGGATTGCAGGGTTGCTTAAGGTTGTCAAATCTTAAAATATCCTGTAACAGTTTATTCATTATTAACTGCTGTTTACAGAATAGTTTCAAGCTATAATTTAAGTATTAATAAAATAAACCACTAATATATTTTTATGTTATAAATTACTGAAAATTAAGAAGACAAAAAACAGAACTCCCAATAATTCTAGTATTTTAATACAGGTACTTTTTTTCCATTTTGACGTATTTATTTCGTTTTTTCCTAGGTAATTTTATTTATTTATTTATTTATTTTTTTGAGGCAGAGTCTCGCTTTGTCGCCCAGGCTAGAGTGCAGTGGCCAGATCTCAGCTCACTGCAAGCTCCGCCTCCCGGGTTTACGCTATTCTCCTGCCTCAGCCTCCCAAGTAGCTGGGACTACAAGCACCCGCCACCTTGCCCGGCTAGTTTTTTGTATTTTTTTAGTAGAGATGGGGTTTCACTGTGTTAGCCAGGATGGTCTCGATCTCCTGACCTCGTGATCCACCCGTCTCGGCCTCCCAAAGTGCTGGGATTACAGGCTTGAGCCACCGCGCCTGGCCAGTAATGTTTTTAAACTGTAGTTGGAATTACCATGTGTGTGTATGTGTATGTTCTATGACACTCTTCTCACTAACATAACAGATGCATTATTTCATGCTACTACAGTTTCATAAAATTTGCTTTAGCTCCACAACTTTTGTTTAAATTGAAAAAATTCTCTATAACTATATTCATATATATTTTTAAGAGACAGGCTCTTGCTATGTTATAGGTTGGAGTGCAGCAGCTATTTACAGATGCAATCATGGCTAACTGCAACCTCAAACTCCTGGGCTCAAGCAATTCTCCCATCTCAGCTTCCCAAGTAGCTGGGACTACAGGTGTGCACTACTGAACCCGGCACATATAACAATACTTTAACAATTTCATGCATGTTCTTTGTTTTTCTTTTTAGACAGGCTCTCACTCTATTGTCCAGGTTGGAGTGTAGTGGCACGATCACAGCTCACTGCAGCTTCAACCTCCACAGCCTCAGGTGATCCTCCCACCTCAGCCTCCTGAGTAGCTAGAAGCACAGGAGCACACCACCACGCCCAGCTAATTTTTGTATTTTTTGAAGAGACAGGGTTTCGCCATGTTGCCCAGGGTGGTTGCAAACTTCTGAGCTCAAGTGATCCTCCACCTCAGCCTCCCAAAGTGCTGGGATTACAGGTGTGAGCTGGCCTCATGCATATTTACTGTGACTTTTGAGAAAAGGATATAAGTAGCTGCTATAAATAAAACTAGTCTTACGCCAGGGGCAGCGGCTCATGCCTAACACTTTGGGAGGTCAAGGCGGGTGGATCGCTTGAGCTCAGGAAATCAAGACCAGCCTGGGAAAAAATGGCAAAACCAAGTCTTTACCAAAAATACAAAAAATTAGCCGGGCATGGTGGTGCATGACTGTGGTCCCAGCTACTAGAGAGGCTGAGGTGGGAGGACTGCTTGAGCCCAGGAGGTGGAGGCTGCAGTTAGCCGTGATCACACCACTGCATTCAAGCCTGGGTGACAGAGCAACACTGTCTCTAAATAAATAAATAAATAAATAAAATTAGTCTTGTGTTTATTCTCTGTAACAGTAGTAGTCACTGTAAAAACAAGCCTAGAACCTAAATAAATAAACCAATCAACATAAAATGATGTGGCTAAAGAAGCCCCCAACATTCAGTTACTTGCATTGAATTAGAGATGTTGCTCAGGTTCCCCTAAAACCCAACCAGCCTTTTTGGGGGGAAATGCGAGGAGAGTAGGAGAAGGAAGAGACAATGTTCCTAATAGAGAATAAAACGGCATGCAATATAATTATAAAATATATAAATATAAAAATACCCATTTTAAGCTACACAAAAGAAAATTACATCCATTTCAGAAACTGAAGACTAAGAATGAATATTTTGTTCATTAAACATATATTTCCTCACTCAAGATTTGATCATGACTAAAACAACCTGTCTTATTAACTCAACCCTAACTGGAAATTAAAAATTCATTTCCTTTTAAATATTGTCTAATTTAAAAAAAAGTTGGCAGCCAGGTGCAGTGGCTTACGTCTGTCATCCCAACACTTTGGGAGACCAGGGTGGGAAGTTTGCTTGAGGTCAGAAGTTTGAGACCAGCCTGGGCAACTTAGAAAGACCCCATCTCTACAAAAAGTTTTTAAAAATTAGCATGGCATGTACCCCTGTGGTCCTAGCTACTTGGGAGGCTGAGGTGGAAGGACTGCTTGAGCCCCGAAGTTTGAGGTTACAGTGAACTATGATTACATCACTGTACTCCATCTAGGCAACAGAATGAGACTCTATGTCTGTTTTTTAAAAAAAGAAAAATGGCTGGCTCTCCAATTGGCCCTGATTAATCAGTACTCAGGGTGAATACTAAAATATCCTACTTCAACAAGCATGCCCAGGAAATATTTTAAATACGAAGAACTATGATTTATTGAGATATTATGCTAAATGACTGCAAGTGTGTGGGTACTTGTGCACACTAAATGTATCTCATTATCCTTGTAATAACCCCATGAGGTATTTTATTTTTTTCACGGTGCCAAGAAAAAGTAGAACTCTATGAGGTATTTTAATTTAAAATCATCCCCATTAAAAAAAAGATACTGGCCAGGCACGGTGGCTCACACCTGTAATCTCAGCACTCTGGGAGGCCAAGGAGGGCAGACCACGAAGTCAGGAGATCAAGACCATCCTAGCCAACATGGTGAAACCCGTCTCTACTAAAAATACAAAAAAATTAGCTGGGCGGGAGGCCGAGACGGGCGGATCATGAGGTCAGGAGATCGAGACCATCCTGGCTAACACAGTGAAACCCCGTTTCTACTAAAAAATACAAAAAACTAGCCGGGCGAGGTGGCGGGCGCCTGTAGTCCCAGCTACTCGGGAGGCTGAGGCAGGAGAATGGCGTAGACCCGGAGGCGGAGCTTGCAGTGAGCTGAGATCCGGCCACTGCACTCCAGCCTGGGCGACAGAGCGAGACTCCGTCTCCAAAAAAAAAAAAAAAAAAAAATTAGCTGGGCGTGATGGTGTGCGCCTGTAGTCCCAGCGAGTCGGGAGGCTGAGGCAGGAGAACTGCTTAAACCCAGGAGGCAGAGGTTGCAGTGAGCCGAGATTGCGCCACTGCACCCCAGCCTGGCGACAGAGCAAGACTCCATCTCAAAAAAAAAAAAAAAAAAAAAGATACTGAGAGGCCAACTTGCTCTGGGTCAGAGGGACCAGCGCTGTGATTCCATGCTGGGCATCTGACTCTGAGGCCCATATTTATCACCACGCCCCATGGTCTCCTCTGTTTCTTTAGCTTTATTTATTATTTATATATATATTTTTGAAACATGGTCTCACTCTGTCGTCCAGGCTGGAGTGCAGTGGTGCAATCATGACTCAGTGCAGCCTCAACCTTCATGGCTCAAGGGATCCTCCCACCTTAGCCTCCCAAGTAGCTGAGACTACAGGTGCACGACACCATGCCCAGCTGATTTTTTAATTTTCTGTAGAGATAGGGTTTTGCCATGTTGCCCAGGCTGGTCTTGAACTCTAGGGCTCAAGCGATCCTCCTGCCTCAGCCTCCCAAAGTGCTGGGATTACAGGTGTGAGCCACCACATCCAGCCTCTCTAGCTTTAAATATCCAATGCATTCTATTATTTTTTCATTTGCCATTGTCTGTGGCAGAAAATATATGAATGATCTAGCAAAAGAATTTTGATGGAGTAATCAGCAAGGCAACACTTGCTGATGAACAATGGCAACAGACAGAAAGGGGGGAAGAGAGTGACAAGAACCTTGTCCTAAGATTAAAGACCTTTGAAGACCAAAGTCCCTGCATATGTTGGTCACTAAGGTCAGCATTTACCCCTTTTTTTTTTTTTTTTTTAATTTTTCAGACAGAGTCTCACTCTGTTGCCCAGGCTGGAGTACAATGGTGTGATCTTGGCTCACTGCAACCTCCGCCTCACGGGTTCAAGTGATTCTCCTGCCTCAGCCTCCCGAGTAGCTGGGAATACAGGTGCCCGCCACCACACCCAGTTAATTTTTGTATTTTTAGTAGAGACGGGGGCTTTCACCAGCTTGGCCAGGCTGGTCTCGAACTCCTGACCTCAGGTGATCCACCTGCCTTGGACTCCCAAAGTGCTGGGATTACAGGCATAAGCCACCATGCCCAGCCCACATTTAACCTTTTATTCAGAAAAATATACACAGAGCAGATGAAAATGCATTTCCATGCGGTCTAAAGGAAAACTATTTAGTCTAGAAATGAGAAGACTTTACATAGCCCTGGCTCCTACAAAACTCCTCTCCTAACCCTCTCAAGCTTCCTGGAGAAGTATAGCCAACAAAAGAGAGGAAGACTACTTACCCAAGAGAGGAGTGCGGCCCCCCGGGTGGCGTGAAGCGTCATCTTGGTGATACCAGACAGTCACTCCAATGTGCCTGGAACCCAAGAGAGGAAGAAAAGCAGTTAATCATATCAGATATCCATGATCAAGAAATAAAGGCGAAATGGTTCCATTTGCCAACTCTCAACACTGAAATCGCTCGTCACTGAATCCACCAAGACACCATGGGAATTTTTAGAAAGCTGAGTACACATGAAAATTACTATAGAGCTTATATCAGAGACGACAGGAAAGAATTGTGCATTTAACTCAATGTCTACCCCATGTAATTTTTCAGTTCCACAGAAAATACAACATTCAAAGTTGGTCTTCAACCCTACTCTTTGGGACATGATGCCCTTAAATATGGAACAAACATGGTTTTCAGGCAGACCTGGGTCTGGATGCTGATTTAATGTGACCAGGGTCACAGGACCTTAGACAAGCAACATCACCTCTTTTAGTCTTTTTCTTTATCTGCAAAATGGGATCCACATACACCTCTCTGGGTTATTGTGATGCTTAAAGATAAAGCAAATAGGACGGTGCTTGGCACATGGTAGGTTGTCAATAAATAATTACTGTTCTTAAGCAAAAATGTTGATTTCCAGCTCTTTCTACAGGTACCCAAATTCTACCTAACAATACCCAAGTCCTTGGGGAAACTGTTCTAGTTTCTGGATTTTTATATCTTCCACAGAAATGTTTCACAAACATGGTTCAAATGGGGGATTGAGTATATCCAAACGTAGGTCTCTGGATGAGGTCAAGTCCAATTCTGGAGGAGATCCCATGGAATATTTAATGAAAATTAGGTACCTGTCCTGGTGTTCTCATCCCCAATTGCCTTTCCCATTGAGATTCTGCCACCTGCCTGCCAACCTACCCAAGAGACCACAGGCCAGATAACTAAATATTCACCAACACCTCCTAGCAGCTCTTACAATTTTCACTAATCTCCAGGGGCACAGTGAGCCCTGTCCCACATCTCCTGCCACACGTGCTCAGTCTGTAACTACTCTAGAAGGAGGAACAAGAGTGGTAAGAGCCACATCGCCTATAAGTCTCCCCATACATTAGCATCTCCAGAGTGTGGGCTCTGCAGAACCAGACTACTGTATGCAAGTTGGGGATCAAGAAAGACACCATTCTTGCCCACAAGGTGCTCACTGTCTAGTAAGGGAAAGAGATACAAAAATCTGAAAATTCATTCCCCATTATCTCTTGGTCCTTCCTATCCAAGTATACTCTGTTTATCAGCCAACCGAAAGGTATTTTCTTAGTCCCTAAATATGATCATCCTCGCTGGGAGTGGTGGCTTACGCCTGTAATCCCAGCACTTTGAGAGGCCAAGGCAGGTGGATCACAAGGTCAGCAGATTGAGACCATCCTGGCTAAAACGGTGAAACCCCGTCTCTACTAAAAATACAAAAAAATTAGTCAGGCATGGTGGCGGGCGCCTGTAGTCCTAGCTACTCAAGAGGCTGAGGCAGGAGAATGGCGTGAACCCGGGAGGCGGAGCTTGCAGTGAACTGAGATTGTACCACTGCACTCCAGCCTGGGTGACAGAGCGAGACTCCATCTCAAAACAACAACAACAACTATATATATATATATATAATGTGTGTGTGTGATCATCCTGTGCTAGAAGCTACACAGAAAATGAGACAATGACATGGTCCTTGCCTTTGAGAGGCTTATAGCAGGGGAGGGAGTAAAATTAAACATACATGAAGCACTAATAGAAGAAAATAATTAAATGCTAAATATAACTAAATGCTAATTACAATTAAGTGCTTCCTGACCCTGCATAATCCAACATGATTCCACATGTCATGCCAGCATCAGTCTTGGAAACGAGCCAATTCACCTGGGCTTTGGCAAGGGCAAATGAAATGGTTAAGAGAGCTCTCAGGAGGGCAAAGAAGCTAAGGGGCTTATGTTCCTCAGTCTTGGATGATTATCATCAAGTATGCTCTATCCATGGGCAAGATTGTATAGCCCTTGAGGACAGGCATGGATGGATGCAGACAGCCCCAAGTACTGCACTGCAATAAGGCTTTTCTGTGGTTGACAAAACTAAAGCTTGAGGGACCACACTTGGCTCTGTGGTGGGGCGGCAACAGCCAGACACTCAACTGGGGCTTCTTTAAAAAAAGGCCTCTGAGCTATTAAATCACAAGGAATGAGGCTGAGATCACCTCTTCCCCATCCTCACTGCTGCTTATAGACTTGCAGTCTTTTTGATGAGGCCCAACACTTCAGTCAGAAATTTTATTTGCAACTGTAGGCAGATCTTGCTGCCTTTGAAAGATTCACAGCTGTGCTACTAAAAATGTCCTGAGGTTTAACCAACCTCTTCATCTCAGAGGCAAAACATACAACCCTGAGGTCCTCCCAGGAGAGCCTGTCTAAAACTAGTTCCACTGCTCAAGAAAATGAGTGTCAAGGCTAATATTCTTTTCTGTGTTCCCCAGGCACAAAAATACGAGGAACCCAATATTCACCACTAGGAACTCCTGAAGGACCTTGTCTGCTCTTCAGGTCTAAGCCTGTAAAGAGGTACTTTCTTAGAGCTAGAATATCAGGGTGAGAGGCTTCAGGAGAGCCCCAGCCATTCCCTTTTCTCTGGGTAAGGAATGACTGAAGCCAGGAGCACAGCTAATTGGGACTATAGCTTTAAGCAGACTTTGGCTGGGAACCCAAGGGCTCCCAGTCAGAGTACCATCCTCCCCACCCTCCCTCTGAAATCTGAGGCAGGCCCCACCCAGTACACTGGGTGATGCTGATGGAAAAACAGATCCTTGCAATGGTAGCCTGGAACCATTTCACAGAAGGATCTGCTGAGATCCACCCCAGCTGGATCAGGCACCCCCGCAACCCTCACTCAATAAACAAAGAAACAAAAGGCCAGGCCCTCTGAGGGCACCTTTGGAGTTCCCATCTACCTGATTCTCTGAGAAAGAAATTCCCCCAGAATCTAAAACAGAGGCCTCACTGAGCTGGTAAGGCACCCTCTCTTTTCCCTGGTCTCAAGAAGTAACCAACGACACAGAAGCAGTTACGTTATAAACTTAAGGCCCTGCATCCTTTTTACATTTCCCAAACTGAGACAAGGCAGCTCCCCGGCATCGGGACCAATTCCCACCTTTATAGTAACTCCTCTGTTTCCAGAAAATAAGTATCAAGATAAGGAAAGTGACACTAAAGAGACAGGCAGCCACTTTGCTTGTACCCTCTCTGGACCTTAAAGAGTTAAAGTCTAGCCATTATTTCCTACCAGGGCTGAAGCTAATATAAACCACCTGCTCAGACGCAAGAAGCAGGACCAGAGGGTCAAGTTGCTGAGCTCTGGAGTCTGTTCTGAAAAAGCTTCAGTTTTAAGTACAGAACAAGAGATAGGCCAAAGGCCAGAGGGTCTGAGCTGCAGCAGTACTGCTCTCCTTACCCCGGCCCTGGCCTGGGTGCCAGCTTCTTTGAGACTGCCTCTTAGCCACTTATTGCCCATCAAGGGAACACCAGCCCTACCTCAAGATAACACCAAAGTGACCTTTGGTCCCAGAGAGTTGTTAAACTACACGTATCTGTCAGCTCATGGGCCCTTGCTTCTGCTGAACCCTCATTCTCTTAGTGCTAACTCCCACTCCCAGAATTTCAGGGCCCAAAGCCCACACAAGCTCCCACCTCAAAGGGTCCTTCCCAGAACCCCACCCCCTTCTCCACCTGATAGTTCCAAAGGACTACAGCCTCACAGCTCACAAAGGAAATGGCTGCCCCATCTGTGCGCCAGTGCTCACTTGCAAAATTTACTACCACTTACCCTGAGACCCTGCCTGCCTGTAGCCTAAGAATTCCATGCTCTGTACCCCTTTCTTAGAAAGATACCCATCTGAGAGACACTCACATCCAAAGAGTGAAAATCCTGATCTTGGGTCTCCTCCTCCTCCTCCAACTCTGGGACGGATAGGTCAGGAGGCACATGCAAGCAAACACTCAGACTTCACCTGGCAGGTTACCCCAGAGGGGCCAAGCCACCTTGCCCTAGGCTAACAAGCTATAAAAACAGCATAGGAAATACGCTAGTACATCCCCTGCCTCTGAGAAGATAAAAGGCAAAAGGACCAGTGGCTCCAAGAGACGCCATACAGAGAAAAACAATCTTTTTCAATTCCTGGGGAGTACTGGGTAGACCGTCTGGTCCAAGTCCAAAGAGTTTCCTGAGGTCAGGGGCAAACCAGTTTGGTCCTTCTAAAGGGACTAGCTTGGGCTCAGGCCTCCTCCTCTTAACAGACCACCCCATCTTTGTAGCCTAGAGTTTGGCACAGAACCCCAAGGCCCTAGAGAGGAACAACAGAGGGATTGCAGGGGAAACCAAGATTCTCTGATTTCTTCAAAAGTGGCTTACTGATGTCTGCCCCTTCTCCCCACGCTCTGGAGGGTCCAGATCAGGATGATGGCAAAAGAGCTGCAATCAGGAACTAGACCCGCAACCAGGCTCGCAGCCATGTATTGTACAGAGGCGCGTACATACACACTTACACACACTCACCTGGGCCCCCACCACTACATGCACACACCCTGGTCCCTACTAGCTGACAAAATGAACCCTTTTTTTACTGCCCACCACCGCACACACACCCAGGGCCTCACACACCCAGGGCCTCACGCAGAAATGGTGAAGCCCTCTCATGAGCTGCCGCTACAGCTCAACGGGCAGGCGCACACGCTTTCCTTCTCTGAACAAAAACATGCTGACATCTACGCAAGGGGGGAAAGAAAGCAACCCTTTGCTCTGAAAGGCGCCAGCTCCCGGATGTTGGCAAGCTCTACTCCACAGCGCCTGTTTCTGAGTATGTTTACTTGCTCTCCCTCTTCTCTCCCTCCCCTTTAAGGATGGCGCAGGAAAGGGAGGTGAGGGGGGAGAATCCACCCCACTCCCTCTTCCATGTTTGAACAAAAACCCAGAGAAAGAGTGAGAAAGAAAAAGTCTCGGTGCAGGGGGTCCTTACCAGACTCCTAAAGCCAAACGCATCTACAGGTTTTAATCCGCCATTAGCATTTAAATCTTGAAAGGAGAGGAGGAAGGGGGGGCCAGTGGAAAGTAACCCCACACACAAAAGAAAAGTTGTTGGTTTTCTTCTCAGTCTGCCTGGCAGGAGCGATCTTCCTGGCTGACAGCCAGAAGTGCGTCACAGCCAGGAGTCTGCTTTCTTTAAAGGCACAGCAAGCTTCCCTGATCTGGGAGCGACAGCAAGCAGGGGACTCTCAGTGGGGGTGGGAGCGACAGCAAGCAGGGGACTCTCAGTGGGGGTGGGGCCCAGAGGGAGGGGGTGCACTGGAGAGGAGGGGCTGCAAAGGGGAAGGCTGGAGGCTTGGTCCACGAACAAGAAAAGCAGGACGAATGGGGGTGGCGGATTGCGGGTGAAGGCACAAGCAGGCAGGCAAAATTACAGAACTCCAACAGCAGCAAGAGTCAAGGCAAACTGTGGCATAAACACACAAAACACATCTCACAGTGGCCTGCCTGACAAACCTGGGATCAACCGGACACTCCCCCTTCGCTCTGTTTTCCACCCAGAGTTTAAGGCAGCAGTAATAATCTGTCCATCTCTCTGGACAGCAATGGAAGGGTAGGACAAGGGCTGTCCTGATAATTAGATCAGCCCCTGCCTGGCGGACCGCAGGGCAGGGAGGAAGACCCGGGAACAGAGGCTTTGAAGAACAAGCAACATGCAGGCCCTTTGATCGGGGGCAGCTTCCTACCGGCCCCAGGGCAGGCTGTGTCTTTAAGCACAACCACGCCGCTCACACACAAAGCACCCTGCCACCTTCCATGGGCACCGCCTGCCCTGCTCTGGGACACGGCCACCCCCTAAGTCCATTCCCCAAGGGAATCTCTCCAGCCCATACCTTCTGCGTGGCAAGGCCAGGATGCCGCGCTGTGCCCGCTCCTCCCCCTCCGCCACCCAAACAAGAAGCCCAGGCAGATTCTGGCCCTGGAGTACAGGCCTGCGCTGTCCTGTGCTGCGTGCTATTGTCGGCTGCGGAATGGCCGCCAAAATCCCAGCTGTGCTGCCAGAACCTAATCCCCTGTTCCGCTGAGCATTTGTGGGGAGGGGCTGAGGGGCCAAGGCACGAGACCTAGTACTCTAGGCACTGGCTGCAGCCCTTAACAGACGCAGGCACCGGGACTTGTAGGCTCTGCTTCTCCTACATGGCTGAAAACAAAAGATGTCTGACTCTTAGAAGACAAAACCACAGCATTTCCCCCCACTACATAGCGACCATCACCAAGGTTGAAAGGGAAGCCCACCAGATGGTCAACAGACACCGCCTAATCTTATGCCACAAACATTTATTGAGCACCTACTATGTGTAAGGCACTCCTATAGGAAACTGTAGGAAGTATACAAAGATGAATTAATTAAGCCTCAGCGTCTGCACTGAGGTAGGTTGTAATTCCACAGGAGATATGAAATGTGACTTGAAGATTAATTTCAAACTGGTGTACTACTTTCCATAAAAGCTGTAAAGAAAAATTCTAACCAGTTTAGAGTAGGGAAGGATTACGAAAATGAAGTGCCATTTTAATTTGGACCTTGAAACACACAGGTAGCATTTCCCCAGATGGAAACAGAGAGGTGTGGGGAGGAAGAAGAAGCAGAGAGGAGGCATGGAAGCAGTAGGAGAAAAGGCTTGAAGAGTGAGGTGGGGTCAGAGAGCTAGGAGGATCTTGAACCTCAAACCAAGGAATCAAATATTTGTAAGTTTATTTGTTTGTTATTAACACAGAGCTGTGGTATGACAAAAACGGTGCCCCAAGTTTATTATGATATATACCTGAATGAGACTAGCAGCAATGAGGTGAGTCAGGAGGCTGCAGTCAGGAGACAGGTAATGAGGGCACACAAGAGGGTAAGAAAGAATGGAAAGGGGGCTTGGCACGACGGCTCACACCTGTAATCCCAGCACTTTGGGTGGATCACTGGAGCCCGAGAGTTTGAGACCAGCGCGGGCAACATAGGGAGATCCCATCTCTACAAAAAATTTCATGAATAAAAAATTAGCCGGGTGTGGTGGCCCGCACCTATAGTTCCAGCTACTCGGGAGGCTGAGGTGGGAGGATCACTTGAACCCAGGTGGAAGCTACAGTGAGAGACATTGTGGAGACAGGGTAAAGAACGGACAGGAGGCAGAGAGAGGAACTGTACAGGGGAGAAAAGTATGAGGGATGATATGAAGAATTAAACTGAGGAGATGACAGGATGTCAGAAGAAGAGAGAAAATAGAGTATAATAAGTAGTAGCTGGTGGGTCACAGTGGCTCATGCCTGTAATCCCAGCACTTTGAGAGGCCAGCCTGGGCAACATGGCGAAACCCTGTTTCTACCAAAAAATACAAACCACCACACAAAAACACAAAAACAAAAAATTAGCCAAGTGGAGTTCTTTTTTTTCTTTTTTTTTTTTTTTTAAGAGGCAGGGTCTCACTCTGTCACCCAGGCTGAAATGCAGTGGCAAGATCATAGCTCACTGTAACCTCAAACTTCTGGGATCAAGTGATCCACCTGCCTCAGCGTCCCAAGTAGTGGGAGTACAGGTGTGTGCCACCATGCCTGGCTGATTTTTTTTTTTTTTTCTGTAGAGAAAGGGTCTCACTATGTTGCCTAGGCACAGCATTATTATAAATTCTTCTCTAAAAATTCTATGCTTCTCCCAAAGCCCTGGGATTATAGGCATGAACCACCAGATCTGGCCCAGAGTTGTCTTTGTCTTTTTCTACTAGGAGGTATACTATAGAGGTCACAATCATTGGCTACAGTTTATAACATATAGGCTAAAATGTTTTACACATAAGACAACCAGTAAAACGTCATGATTTACAAACAAATTAGTGTCTTTTTTAGTGTCAAAGCCCCAGCTACTCAGGAGGCTAAGATGGGAGAATTGCTTGAACGCGGAACGAGCAGAGATCATGCCACTGCACTCCAGCCTGGGTGCCAGAGTAAGACTCTGTCTCAATAAATACATAAATGGACAGATAGATAGACAGAAAGACATATAGTAGCTAATGCTTACTGAGTGCATACTGTGTACCTGACACTATTCTACTGACCTAACATGTACGAACTCATTAATCTTAAAAACTCCCTTATGAAGTAGGTACCTTTATCACCCAACCTTAGAGAGGAGGAAATTGAGCTACGAGACTAAATAATTTGCCAAGATCACACAGCAAGTAAATGGTAGAAGTCTCTACCACATGCTGCTAACTATTTGATGTTGGCAAGAAACTTCTGAGCTTTAGTACCCCTATTTGTAAAATAAGAATAAAGACACCCGTTATAAAAAAGTAATGAAAATTAATTCAGTAACACCTATAAGGTGTCCAACACACTGGCTAGCATGTAAGGCATGGATGGGTGCTTCCTCCAGACTAATTCCTGTTTGGCATTTTGGTCCCTTGTCACCAAGGTGTCCAAACAGAAGTTGGCTCACCAATTGTCTGGGAAGCCAGAGAGGGTATTCCGCCTGGAGCAGGAGGCTGGATCCTCTGTCTGTCTGCCTTCTTCCCATCAATCTGCCTCTCTAGGTTTTACTTTAGGGTCCAGCTCAAGTATTTAATATATTTGATTTAATATTCCTAACTCCTCAAATATTTAACAGTTAACAGGGGTTACCTTGGGGGAGGAGTTAGATTGTAGGGAACATTCACTTGGGGACTTTCTATGCTGTATTTTTTTTTTTTTTTTTGAGATGGAGTCTTGCCCTGTCACCCAGGCTGGAGTACAATGGCATGATCTTGGCTCAATGCAACCTCCATCTCCTGGGTTCAAACAATTCTCCTGCCACAGCCTACCAAGTAGCTGGGATTTATAGGCACCTGCCCCCATGCCCAGCTGACTTTTGTATTTTCAGTAGAGACAGGGTTTGACCATGTTGGCCAGGCTGGTCTCCAACTCCTGACCTTGTGATCTGCCCACCTCAGGCTCCCAAAGTGCTGGATTACAGGTGTGAGCCACCATGCCCGGCCTTGCATTTATTTTTAATAATCTTATATTACACTGGTGGTAAGAAAAATGTAACTACCTCTTACTCTTGGCACTTATGTGTATATGCACGAAAGTCTTGTCTTCACATCTAGAATGGAAATTCCTCAAGGGCATAACCAGTTCTACCACTCTCTCTCTGTGATCCCCCATAACACCTAGCACACTAGCACTCCTTAAATCTGCTTCTCCAAACTACATCTGGATGTCAGGTTTACAAATTCAACTTTCTGGCCACCAGAGAATGACTGTGGTGGGCAGTTGGGATGAGATGGGGGTGGGGGTCAGACCAAGGATCATTGCTGTAGGCTCCCCATCACCCTGCTGCTTCTTCCAGGCCCTGTAGGCTATTCCCACTGTATGATTTGTAGTCTGTAGTTAGCAATTACTATTAGCAGGAAGAGAAGTTCTTATTCAAAGGAGCACCGTGAAAGCAAAAGCAAAGCAGATACCAAAACTTTTATAGAAAAGCAAAGTGGCAAACATAATTGTTTGGGGTTTTGTTTTTTGTTTTCTTGAGACAGAGTCTCACTCTGTCACCCTGGCTTGAGTGCAAGTGGCACAATCATGGCTCACTGCAGCCTCAGCCTCCTGGGCTCAAACAATCCTCCCACCTCGGCCTCTATAGTAGTTAGGACTACAGGTGCGTGCCACCACGCCTGAATAATTTTTGTATTTTTTTTGTAGGGACAAAGTTTCATCATGTTGCCCAGGCTGGTCTCAAACTCCTGGGCTCAAGTGATTTGCCTGCTTCAGCCTCCCAAAGTGCTAGGATTACAGGCATGAGGCATCCCAGGCCTGGCCAAACTTAAAGACTGGCATTATCAACGCTCCAGAAAATGTATAAGGTGAAAATAGGAGGGAGGCCTGCTAAAACTGTCCTGGCCACATATGGCAATGGGTCAGCCCTGAAGTTTCCTAGCCCAGATAGAACTGGCACTGTCTCAAAAAGTCTCCCCAGCCTGGCCCCTTGCTCTAAACTCAAGGCAACAGCTTCCAGCTGTGCAGCTTCTGAGAGGCTGAACCTTCCCCTAGAACCCCTCTGCAAAGCTGCCAAGTTTCTGGGCCAGCTCTTCAGGGCAGCCCAAGGAGCCTGGCCAGTTTCTCCAGCGTTTCCCTCCTCTTCCTCCCGCCTGTGGCAGCAGCAGAATTTCCACAGCTCCTCTCACAGCCTAGACAGGCAGCAGGCAGCCGGCAGCCACATGGCTCCTGCCTGATTCTTACTGTCCCCAAAAGAGTAGGAAAGGAGTGGTAAAACCTTTCTAGAAAAAGAGAAGAAGGGTCAGGCATGGTGGCTTACGCCTGTAATCCCAGCACTTTGGGAGGCTGAGGCAGGCAGATCACCTGAGGTTGGGAATTTGAGACCAGCCCGACCAACATGGAGAAACCCCATCTCTACTAAAATTACAAAATTAGCTGGGTGTGGTGGTGCAGGCCTGTAATTCCAGCTACTTGGGAGGCT